GCTGTGTTTCTGGTTGTCTGCAACAGGTTGTTCCACTGGAGGAGTCAGATTTGGTTATGTTGTCAGTCAAAAATACCGAAAAACTGATTCCTTTACTGCATATGTGGGTGTACATCTGTTGTATATATTTATATATATATATATATGTTTTAATACTTTAATGTATATGAACAATCAATGTATTGTACAAACATGTACTTTGTCAATCTGAAATGTGTGAGGCTGTTCGCTTGCAAGCTGACCTGGGTCTTGTGTTTAGCGTATGTCATTGTAACGGTTTGTCATGCAGGAAAGCGTGACGAGCGCCAGGTATTTTAACACAACTGCAGGAAGGCGTTTCTTAAATCCAGTACATATGCAGCCTGCTTTGATCCGCTTTGTTAAACATGAGAGCTGAGGTAATGTTGTCAGGAATACCTTTCATTTTCTTTACACAAATGAAGGGCTTCATTATGGTACAGTACTTAAAAAAAAAAAAAAAAAGCCGCCTTACAGATTTCTTCTGTTTTTGCTGAATATTTTTGGATTAGCAAGCAAATCGTAATGATACGGAAGAGGATTAGGGCCACTAAAAATAAAAAATTAACTGATTTTTTTAAATTTTATTTCAGTATAGTATGGGAAAAAAGTCAGAATTCTAATTTTAATCTCAGAAATCTGACTTTTTCCTCAGAATTCTGACTTTAATCTCAGAATTCTGACTTTTTTCCCATACTATACCGAAAAAAAAAAAAAAAAAAATCAGTTAATTTTTTTTTTTTTAGTGGCCCTAATCCTCTTCCGTATAATGAGACAATGGAGATTTGACTTCGTAATAAAATGGCAGCTTGGTATGTAGACTTGTGCATGATGTGTTGTTTTACTTTTTCCGTCTGCGTCTATGTCTACTATTCTAATAACATATCCAGACCATACTACCTTATTTGTTAAATCAATAATTCATAAAAAACAATTTGACATCATGAAATAGTGTATAAACTTTCTAATCAAACATATGCCCAGATCTAACTTGAGTTATCTCAGCTAAAATTAGAGTTTGTGCACAAAATTACAAAAAGAGAAGAACTCTGCTTGGAGCTAAATACTTTTTCATGGCTCTATTTCTCAACACAACATGGATGCATAATCTAATGCATCGATTACTGAATTACCAGGATAAAGGTAATGTCACATGGGTAGGTTGAAGATTGTCAGAGGTTTGTTCGCTTAAATTACGGAGGAGGAAATTCCTCCTTCTCAGTACATAGAATATTGTCTTACATTTAAGATATTTTTTCCTTAAAGCAACAGTTTAAAAATATATATTTTAAAATCTTCTCTTATTCAGAGATATAGCTGAGACGATTGATACCGTAGTCAAACGCTGTGTGCCCCGCGGCTACAACCTGTTAGTTTAGCATAGCATTAAAAAGTGAAGCAAGACAACATTAGACATGAAAAAGAAAACATACAAGAATACAACGTTCCCAAATCCACAGTGGTAAAATGACAGAGTTACAATATTTGTGTTGGATCAGACAGAAAAAAAAATTTTGTTTTAATTTTCAAATATTCAGCAAATGTCGGGCTATGGATCGTTTCACATTTGCCTATTTGCATTAAAAGTGTCTCTTATTTTGTACACTGAAACAAACATTTTCAAATAATCATCCTGCATTCCTTTTTCTTTTCCAAGATCTAGTAGCCGACTGTTTCTATAACTGCAAAAATAATTGATCTCCATAATCTTTGGAAAATTATCCTTAATCCCTTGTATTTAAAGAAGCTAGAAAATAATTGTTATGAAGTTCTGTTATATTGTTATGGCTCTTTTTTCTCTTTTTCTTTCGTAGAAAAGATTGTCAATGAAATGACCAGCGTTGACCAAAATACTATACAAGTAATAAGAATAAAGATCTACTGAAAGTTTGTTTTAGCATCTCTTTACATATTTGCAGGTTTCCAGGGCACACACTGTCAAAACCAAGCTCTCCATTAACCTGATAAATACAAAAAATAAAAACAAAACCCAATTCCCATTAAAAAAAGCTTGAAATGTCAGTAAATGATTGAAGACAGTTCAAAACAAAGAGTAGAGAAAAACACAAAGTCTTAAGTAAGAGGTGAATAAACATGGAGCTTTGTTTTTGCACTTTGCCGTTTCCTGCCCCCGTAATGATCTTTTTACCCTACGGTAACAATTACTAAAGTAAGTAGACCAATACTTCTCTCTGTACACCTTTAACCAGCTGTTTAAGAAGAAAGGGGAAATATTTAAGAGATGCACCTTTAAGTTCTACTACCAGGACTCTAACATGACTAATTAGGAAGCCTTCTCTTTCATTCTTGATCCTTTACAGTTGCACATGGACATCCGGAAGATGCTTTGACTGCATAGAAAATGTCGTTCCTATCTTTTTAAACAGACTTCATCAGTCAAAAATACTAGAATATAATTAATATAACAGAATTAAGTCATACATTTACGAGAATAAAGTATAAAATTACGAGAATAGAATTGAAAAATTACAAGAAAATTAAGCTTCGAGCTCCGACCAGCATATGAGGGCCGACCAGCTCCACCAAAAAAACAAAAAAAGTCAAATTTTTACATACTGCCCAATTTAACAATGGTGTGCTAAAAGATTTTCTTATTTGTCAAACCGATGTAAAAGATAATCGACATTCCTCATTTTAGCAAAGTGCCTCTTAAAGGAGTTGCCATTAAACACAAATTTGTTCTCTTAGTATTGCGACTTTATTCCCGTACTTTTATGACTGTATTCTCATAATACTATGTCTTCATTCTCAAAAAAAAAAAAAAAGTCTTCAGTCTGGCCCTAATACTCGGTCGTAAAAAATAGATTCATATTGTAATGAAATCTATGAGTTCATATTGTAGTTTTCAAGTTTTCTGCTGCTTGTTTGTCACACCAACATGTTTCAGATAAGCAGAGGTTTTTTACAGGGCAAAGATAACCTTAATAAATCCAAAGAGCAGCTTTTATATAAAAAAATTAATGCGTCATTTGGAAAACATTTGAGGCACTCAAGTTCAGTTCTAGACATTATCGATCTGAGGCTGCTCTAAACGCATCTAAGACATTCAGCAGAACCTTCCGAGCTGATTGGTGGAAGCTACACCTAGTGCCCGCCTGTTATAGAATGGTTTTAGCCAATCACAGTAACAAATGAAATGGTAGCTGATACAATGAAACGCTCTAATAACTTTTGTTTTTATGTTCTTGCCGTTTCTCTTTAAAAGATGAAATCATGGATTCTTACACACAGCTGCACCAATATGCTCCTATGGTGCATTGTTATATATGGCTGCGGGCTCCACAGCTCTTGTTTTTGTTCCACCTATATGTCCTGCCTTAAACCATAATACTGCAATTTGATTGGCCGACCCTCTTTGAGTCAGTCTGCAAAATTTATCTTTCTATTTTTCTATTTTAATTTTTGACAGTCATATGCACAAAGTCGATCTCTATCATGCTGCGTTGTACCAAAGCCTACTTTGTTGCCACAATGACCTGATGTCTGAAATGAGCTAAAAATCAATGCAAAAACTGCACCTGCAATCACTTTCAGGTTAAAAAGATGGCTCTGTGGCAGGAAAATATTTTACTTGCAAATAAACGAGTACTTTTTGGTCATTATAATATGCTCTGCAGATTAATGAAGACAGACACGCAAAAAAAAAAGTTTACACGTGTCGTCCGCCGAATCGCACATACAAATTACTTTGCACCTTTTATGCATATAATACATCCAAACCTTTCCAAGATCAGGCCCTAACAGTGCATTCACTTCTCATCCAGTAAAAAACAAAATCAACTACAACAATAGACTTCACTGACCTTAACGTCAGTGATTAGGATGTAGGAAAGAAACTGACCAAAAAGAATGAGAATTTCTTACACTGGAACATTTCAAGGTGCAAAGTCATGATGACAATAAAGAACACCAAGATTTACCAAAAAGCACATATCTAGCTTCAAGACTTTTGGGAAAATATTCTCTACACTGCAAGACAAAGGTTGCCCACAGTCTAATTGTTGTGGTAGTGTGACGGTCAGCGGTATTATGGTAAGTTTAAGCTCAGCTAATCTTGGGTCATACAACAAGACATTGATTTAAAATGCAATGACAAGCTTAAAATGCTCAAAACCAGAGCAGACTTTGAAGTGGCCTAGTTAAAGTTAAAATTGAAATCGCTTTGGCAATAAGGGGACAAGACCTTGAACATGAAGCCCGTCCTTAAAAAAACCCCTACAGTTTGACTGTATTGTAACTAGTCTATTATCAGTTATTGGCCAGATTGACTATCTGGCATTTTTAAAAGATATTACAATGGCAGTAGTTACTATCAAAAATGGGCAAGGGAGTGTTGGCCTAGTTGTTAGACCAGTGCCTTCTGAGAAGGTTGGAAGTACCCGGTTCAATCCCCACAGCCTGCACTCTGGGTCCCTGAGCAAGACCCTTAACCCCACTGCTCCCCAAGGGGATGGGTTAAATGCAGAGGTAAATATCTCAACTGTGAGATCAATAAAATTAAATCATTATTATTATTACATCCAGCTGTTAGATGTTCCCTTAATAAATCAAAACTGCTTTTGGATTTACAAACTGCTGATCTGAAACATGTAAGAAAAACAAAAAAAACCCCAGCAAGATCAGAATAAATCCAGGAAGAGGAGAAGAACTTTTCTTATCCGTAAATTTTTATGAAATTTGACTAATAGTTAGAAGATATGAAACCCATTAATTACTATATATTTGTAAGAAGACGCTGATCTGCTCTTTGGCCATAAACATAACTGATGATCCAGTGAATGAGTGTTTCCAGGATATAAGTTAAGACATGTTCAACAATCCAGACTTCTGTGCAAGGAGGAAAAAAAGAATATAGAGTGCTTCCCCTAGTTGGGGCTATTGTCTCAGAATAATTCAGGACAAAAGACAAAGCAGTTAGAGCTGACTGACAACAGCACTTAGAAGCATTAAAAAGACACTCATGCTATAACAGGGTGAAGCAAAGACACCCATTTATTGTCCATGTGGAAACTGCATGCAACTTAAGTCCTTAGCTATGCTCGGGCGCTACCTCTCTGTTTTGCTTATGTTCTGCATAGCTAGAAGGATTCCAGGTCATTCCTATGTCAAACATGGTCCTGTACATTTTCTGTAGTCCGTCTTTAAATCTCAAAACATTACGCAGCAACATTCATAATCTTTTTTAAGACTCCATGTCTTAAATGCACTGGTTGAAAGTCGTACATCCAACACTGCGGATCCATAGATTGAATTGTCTTTCTATGTACATCCTCTCCTGCTGCTTCAGCATTTTTTCACCAAACAGTGTTTAAAAGCAGAGGGGCGGGCATTCAGAACGCAGCCCTTAGACAGTTTGCCATCCTGGTCCTTGCACTGTACCGTCCGGCTCTGCCAGCCAGTATCACAAGTCCTGGAGCATGTCATCCAAGGTCCCGTTACCCACTTGGGACCTGGAGAAGGGGTTGAGGGAACAGGTGTCGTTGGCATTAGGGCTAAAGCAGCGGGAGTAGGGGTAGCTGTAGTGGTGCTGATTGTGGTGGATCTTGTGGTGGTAGACGCTGTGGTGGTGCTCTTTAAAGAGTTCAACTTTGCATTTAAATTCTGCTGTGGGGCTGTCCACCTCGGCATGTAGAAACTGTAACGGACATCAAGGGGCTTTTTTGCATCTGTAGCAAGAATTTGGACAACCAAAGCTTCTTTGAGAGCCCCGGGGCCCATGCTGTGGAGCCATTCATCTCGCTGAGTCCAGCCGCTGTAGTTGAGCAAAGAACCGTTGAGTGGGATGATCGTCTCTGAGGTCGAGATCATGAACTTGCCGTTTAGGAGGTACTCGCCACCTGGCCGTCTGAGGGCCAAGTAGGCAGTGAAGCGGGTCTGGTCCTTGGCCAAGTGCTGACGGACTTTAACGTGAGTGGAACCTGCAGGGATCTTTACTATATCAGTGTATCCTTTGCTGTTTGAGGGCAGAGAAAGTCAGAGGAGATCATATCACCAGGTGTGACAGTTTTAAGCAAAAGTTATGACTGAACAACTTAAAATATGAATGAATGAAACCAAAAAATGAGAAAGCAGATTAGCTATAAATATAAAAAAAACACACAAATAACCAGGAACATTTTTGGAAATCTCACCTCTTTTTGGTGAAGTTCCCAACTACCCTTATACACCCCATGCTGTCGCCTCCACATATACCGCATTTATCGAACTGGAGCTTGGAGCCAATGATGCCGTCGCAGCCAGTACGTATGCATTTCCCTTTCACGCATACAGAGCTGCTGTGAGGGCGGCACTCGGTCCCATCCACCACCTGATTGCAGAAAGCCACACCATTATCGCGATCTTCCCTTTCTGCATCAAACAACTTGCACCTAAGCTGTACAGCTTACTCACCCTATGAGAGAATACCACGTAGTAGCCCGTTCCTTTTGCTCTGCATGTCAGCTTGCACACATCTTTAGGGAGAACTCCTGCATACTTCGGCACCCACTCGACGAAGGTCTTCACCCCTTTAGGGTCAGTCTGGGGACCATTACGAACCTCACATTGTTCTTGACGGAAACTCTTGTCTGCAGAAAGAAAACGCGAGTAAGACACAATCGATCTCTTACAGTCTTTCAATCTTTCTTGCACTGATTGCTCACTGGAAGCCGGGCACGGTGGAGAGACATTACAAGTCCGATAGATGGCTCTCTTTCCTATGCAGTAACGCCCGTTGTTTCGGGGTGCTGGGTTGTTGCACAGACGCTGGGCAAACTGCACCCCGCCACCGCAGGTTCTAGAGCATGCACCCCAAGATCCCCAAGAACTCCAGCTGCCGTGGTTGGATGCCTGGGAAATTGTAAAGTCAAACAGGGGGAAGATAAGAAAAAATGAAGAAGATGAGGGAGAGCAGTTTGTGCTTATCACAGATATTGGATGCATGAGACGCTGTCAGCAAGAACAGCTGGCAAGAGATGTGTGATAAACAGAAATGTATCATTCATTGGCGTCTAAAAAGGAGTCTACCATCATGTGATGATAACCAATTTCTTGTGACAGACTCATGGTCCATTAGAGGATTACCAGAATTAAATTCTTCACATATTTCTACTTGTTTAGGAGACATCAGCATAATGTGTTTTATGAGCTCTTTTCCAAATGCTCTACGGAAAGAGTTTTCAGGGCCTTTCAAAAATATAACCACCCTTTTAACTTTTTTCACATTTTGCCACCATACAGTCAATGGATCTTAATCTGATTTTGTCTTCTAGACCACCGTCCCCACTGCATGATGCTGCCCTTGTGGAGATGTTCTTTAGTGCCTTCACACATTAAATCTTATTCTCATCAGACCAGAGCACTTTTTTCCGTATTTTTAATATATCCCTAACGAGCCACCATTTGTTTAGAAAAATTTGGTACACTGAGGTTTATTGTTAAAATGTCACAATATGCAAAAAAGGGAAATAGCCACTTATTTCCATTCCATTTACTAAGCTTAGACAGAAGAATATATAGATAGATTAAAGAATCTAAGGCCTAAAACAGTGAGGGTGGGGTTTATTTATGAGCGATGGGCAGGGAGTTAACCAAAACAAAACCAGTCACTATTTGGTACGTAGCCATCTATACAGCTGTCTGCCAAGAATCAGATTTTGTTCATCAGACATCATGAAAATGATAAACATAAACGAAATGTTCTTTGCATCCCTTTTCTAAACGCCTTAATCCTTTCTGACATTCAGCATATTTTCTTCCCCTGCTAATCGTCTGCCAAGAACAAATTTGGTGTCCTTACAGTCATGTTTGATTTAATTTAAGGCCAGAATAGCAGTTCCATAAATATGGAAGACCACACAGTGCAGCCAGACAAAACATCTCTCCCTAATATCGCCTCTAAATACTGTTTATTTCTGCCCCAGCAGCAATTTGGCTTTGAAAACAAATGTGGACAGGTGAGCGTTACATATACTTCTTATTCGTTTCTCAAATTGTGGTAACCTTACCGAATAGTGCTTCTTTCGGGTCTTGTCCACACATTTTCCCTGCAGGCAAATGCGGCCCTTCCCGCATGGCGTTCCCTCCACTGCTGGAAGCTTCTTGGTTAGACAGACCATCTGTCCCTGGCGAATCACGGCGCACCAAAGGCGGGAACATACATCCATGCCTGGACAGACGGTGTACTCTGGCCCGAAGGCCAGGCGACACTGTCGGACAGCGTCATAGCTCTGGCCTGGAAGCTCTTCTGGCCCGAGAAGGGGCTGGCGAGGAGAGTCGAGGAGACACTCGGCTGTTGAGTCGTGGAAAAATCAACAATAAAGGAAAATTCTTGACTATTAATGACACACTTTAGTCTATTAAGTATAAGGCTATGTAATCCTATAAAATAAGGGGGGAACGTTTTCAAGCTTTAAAATATCCATAGGGTGCCCAACAGATCTGTGCATGCATAATCTTAATAAACTGGTCCTGTAATTCTTTAGACTCTATAAAAGCCCTGCAGCTGCCGCAACAGATACTGCCAAGCCTGAAATTATAGTGTTGGTACATGAATTATGCCAAAGCCTTGGAACTGCATTGCAAAGTGTCAGCAGCATGCTTTACGGCTGTCATGAATGAAGGTGCTGGACAAAAGCATGAATCATTTTAATCTTTGTCTGCAATGCAGATACACTCTTTAACAAGGATTACAGGTTTGTAAATAAAGTCTACTTAATGACATTGTAACATTTCAAGCAGAAAATAGCTCTCAGCTATCCCTTTCATCAGTTAAATAAGCAGGAATGGAAAAAGGAAATACCTAAGAGAGCAGCTTCAGATAAATCAAACCAATGTTTTCAGAAAAAAAAAAAAAAACACGACGCAGTATTAATTTATTTTATGCATTTTCTTGACTTACCATTTCCATCATCAAAAAAATCGGTGATGGTGGATGAAGTACAGTGGCTCCAGGGTTTGGAGGCATCGATGGAGGTAAGAATGGAAGACATGAGCTGCTTTTGACTGTTGACCCCAAAACGGTCTTCGCAAAACTTCGAATCATCGTGAGACAATCCAAGAAGGTGACCTGAAACCCAAATAAAGCTTTTAGAGTACGAGCAACGATATGATTCCACTCCATGTGCACATTGACAAAACCCAAATCAAATCTTTGAGTATTCCTTTTTTTCCTCATCAAACTGCGCACCGTTTGGTTCCAGCAATGTGAGGAATGTCAGGACCTGTCTTCAAGGCTCCATGCAGGAAGAATCAGAAAAGAAAACATAACTAAGTGCTCTGTTTATGAGCTGCATGACATGATTTTAATCCACAAGAAGGATGTGCTGACAGAGGTGCATTTGCATGCCCCGGCGTGATCCTGCTTCGTCTCTGAGTTCATGCCTACCTATCTCGTGAGCGACAGTGAAGGCAGCGTGAAGGCCATCGTCCTCGATGACGGCGCAGCTTCTCTCCGGAGAGCAGATGGTGCCGACATCCGCCATGCCCAGAGTGTCGCAGGAGTGGTGGCCGCATAGATCCTGGTCAAAAAAAATGATACACTTCTAAATCATGGCCTGAAGGGCGACTAACTGAATATTTCAGAGCCAAAAAAGCTATAAATGTTATGTATGAATGAAAGAATTCATAGCAAAGCTCTGTGTTATAAACTGAAAGCGAGTTCCATAAATTAATGATGATGTGTGGCATTAATCAGTGATACAGAAAAAGGACAGAGTGGGCACTTTTACTAAAAAAGATCACCTCCACCGCTACAAAGAAAACAGCCTCTCTGTCGCCCTGGTTTATGAAATAACCAAAATGGGAAAGAAAAACCTAAACCTTAAGGATGTGGACCCAAGACAAATCATGCCATGGCTCTGATGAGCAAACAGGCAAGAAAAGGAGACATTAGGTTTTATTTGTGAGCAATCAGATTAGGGGCTCTTACTTGTTCTAAGTACTCTGCTTATATCTGCAGAAAAGGGAAGGCAATTCCAGTTGCTGAGTGCTGGTATCCTGCAACTTTATTTCTTTTCTCCAACACACTTGAATCAACTAGATGGTAAGACTCTGGAAAAATTGTGTGCATACCGTGTCGGTATTTAAGCCATTTGATTCAGTTCTGTTGGAAAAAGAATGAATATAAAATTTGCAGGAAACTGGAACTCAGGAGCTGGAATTTATCACCCCTATATGCGCAATCCTTCCTCATGTGTACAAAAGTGAGACTTAGATACAGTAGCCACCTGCAGGCTCTTTAATGTTCTGCTGACACAGGGGCAACAATGGTAAATAATCATCTAGGTATCTAAATGTTTTGGTTGGTGCCTTGTTAAAGGGACGGCATGCCCCTATGAAAAATTAATGGCAGAAACACTGGGTGTTTTTAAACTGCTGGTTTGTTGGGTCTCCAAGGTACTAAATCTAAACAGATTCATTTCCTACTTTGTGGGTAAATGACCATATAAATCTTTACTTTACAGGACTTTCCTTTTCCTGCTCCTATATCATGGAGCCACTGTTTGAGACAATGTGCTCTTATGCAACTATAAGCTGATTTTCCCTATATATATATATATATATATATATATATATATATATATATATATATATATATATATATATATATATATATATATACATTTCAGTGATTAAAACAAATAGGAATGTTGTAAACTGGAAGACTTAACAGAATTGTTAAAAATGTCATATATGCCTATTAACCCCCAGTCACCTTATTTTTTCTAAGAAACTGCATGCCTAACAAAGTGTACTTTACATTTAAGCACGCTTTGACTTTCTGTCACTTTTTTTCCCTCTTCCTAATTAACATATTTAACCAGTTCCATTAAGTGCTGATGTAGTAGAGAGTGTTTTCATTCCTGTTTCAGTCGTATGCATTATCCAGAATCCCTTCGTCTGCCTTGAAGCAAGTATTGATCTTTGCTTTGATTCCCACACATGTCCATCTGGATGAGGCCTGCAGGCTCTGCAGCGTGGCCTCACTAAAAGCAGAGATCAATCTGCTAATCATACCACCAAATCGTAGATGGACGTCTGTACGAGGGAACAATTGAACATAAACGCACACACTCGTCCTGGAGAGAAGATGAATCGTCATGTTTGAGCGGTGATGACAGGCCCGCTGGGTCGTGTGTGTGAGGCTCTGTAGGGAGGGTGTTTACCCGTTCCGGTCCAATCGGTTTGGGACAAACTCCCTTGTGTTTTGCACTCTCACACATGACTGACTGGGTGGGACATAGAGACGCAGACACAGCCACTGTGATAACTGCATTTAAGTGGGAACATTTTTCCCCATACGGAGAGAATGCAAAAATGCTGAGGCTCACAACACATCCTCATTAAAGTGAACAGGAAGCTTCTGCCAGCTGACTGCTGGATACATAAGAAGCAAACAAAGGACTGATTCTTACTGCATGGATGGCTGCTGGGAGCGGAACAGAGCTGAAGTTTCTCTGGACTTGTCTGTGCGCAGACAGGCATGAAGGATGAAGAGAATTGCTGTACTTTGATTCAAAAGTTAGGGCTCTCCAGAGAAGTTTGACCGCTTTTCTTTTCCTGTTTCCCATACTCTCCTCTCGATATAGAATTTTTCTATTAAATTCATCCCCTGTCTGGTCCAGATCTTGCATGAGATCAGTTGAAGTGCACCTGGATATATGCTGCTAAAACAGTGTAAAAGGAAACATGCGGGCAAAAATTGGGGATCTCCTGCTAAATAGTGACATGCGAATAATACCTGAATTAACCCCAAACCACATGTCAGCTTGTTTAATACCCTCCTCTGCCAAGACTCGGCTGAGACTTGCATTTTTATCCCGAGGGCTCTGAAGGAAAGAAAAAAAAAAAGAGAGGGCGGTAGGGAAATAAAAATAAGTTCAGGTATCAGCTGCCGGGGGGAGGGAAGAGGATGGAGTAGTGCCGGAAATTAAGGCGAAGAACATGGAGAACAAGGGGTTACAGTAATATTGGCAGAAACAACAGGAGAACAGGTGGGACGCTGGCTTTCAAAGGTCAGGGCCTCCATCACAGCTGTGCTTTTGTGTGTGAGGTATGAGACCACTTGAAATCTAACCCAGCGCTGGTGTTAAGCAAACAGAGCCAGACACACACACACACATACACAGACGTTCCTCTTGGAGAGAGTTTAGCTCACTAAAATCCACTGCCAGGTGATTCCAGCAAACCTAGTGAAAACACAGGCAGGTGGCAACAGGTGATCTAATCCTATTTTAATCTAATTTGGTCACATTTTAAATAGAAAATCGATAGGATTCCTGAAAATAAAACCTAACATTATAATCATATCCTGTATGATTGGTAAGAGTGACTTTTAAAGAGAAGCAAACTAAACTCCAGCTGCCAGATTTCTCCATGTGGAACAGAACCTGGACAGGATCCTAAAAAAATCACTCGTAAACACACAGCTGCTCTAAGGCTCGAAAATCAAAAATTCTTCTACATTTTCAAACACATAACGTCATTTTGAGTGATATTATCTAAATCTGACCAAAAAAAAAGAAAAAAAAAGTGTATCCTCAATGTGTTATGCTAAACAGGGCAGGTATACCATATTAAATATTAAGGAACATTTGAAAATGTGTTTTTATTTCCAGGATTTCCCATTATGCACATTATTAAGCTTTAAAACAGTATAGTTTAGTAAAAAAAAAAACGTAATTCAGGTCTTTTAAGCAAATTAAAATCGAGGGTGACCCGGATGTATATCTGGTTGCACAAATGAGCTTCTGGGACGAATCGGGTATTGACAAGCAGTTCCAAATCATAATAGGTAAAATTCCCCATGTATATTTAAAATGGAAATGCGAAAGTATTTAGCTCCATTAAAGTTTTCTTGAGAAAATGTTTTTGTTAAACACTTGAGGCAGATAGACAGAGGTGATATTTTTGATCATATTCCAATACTCGCCCTTGTGTCCCTCAGTTCCTTTTTCCTATTGATGTTTTTCAGGGTATAGCATGTCCAGATTGTCTTGATTGGTCTTTCATCCCACCCTCTTCGCCCTCTCGCTCCACATTTCGGCTAAGTGCTCTTCTAATTGGACTTTGTTGAAGAATACTTCTTGGTAATGGTGATGAATAAATGTGTTTGTAGGTGTAAATATACACAATAATTTGTCTTTTACCATACTTAACTCCCGTTAATACAAATCAGTTGTGTCTTGCAGTTTTAAAATCCATTCCTTAGCACTAAGATGACACAAACAGCATTGGGTCCTGCCATTGTTGATGTTGCCATTGTGATGCAGGGGCACGGGGTCAAATATGCAGATCTGTAACCTGCACATCCGAACCCTTAGTTATAAATCTATGAAGAACCCACCCTAGAGAGGGTTGTAGGGTGTAGTGATGTTGGGACTTAGTCAATGGCGTAACGACACAACAATAGGCCCGTAAGCAGCATTATCTGGGTGGGCGCCATATGAACTACAACACCCCATTCCCCCAGTTGGGAATTTTTTCCGTTCTTCCAGCAGCTATTCTTTCTTTTTTCTTTTCTGAAATCCGCCTAAGTACCTTTTTTTGGTATCCATCGTCGCTAACACATTGTACGTAACGGTTATGGTTTTAATCTACGCTCTGGATTACCCATAATTTCAAGTCGTAGTGTAAAAAATATAATACTAAAATACATCGTTCTTTTAAGATCTTTATTGCGGTTTGAAACATATTACATGAGTGTATTTTTTACCAACCGTCTAATGAACTATACACAGTTATTAACATAGTAATTAAAAGTCTGCTTGCTATTGGTGTCGTGATTAAACAGCTCACCATCATGTTGAAATCTGCCATGTGTGGGGGTATAAATACGGTCCGGTCAATCAACCAAGTATCAGGTGGGTATAGGAGGAATTTTTCGCGGCATTACATCTGCAAAGAGATGTCATACTCTACAATTTCGTAGGGGGCCAACCAGATGTCAGTGAAGGGGCCCCTAATCAACTACAGTCTCTGCTTACCGATATTTATGCCACTTATTGGTGTCTTTTCTTTAAGAGGTGGGGGTGTTTTTCAGTCATACTTAAGGATTTAAGTTGAATACTTTTACCTTCTTATGTAATCATGGCTCTTCATTAACTGGATCACTTTAATACCACAGAATTAATTCACTTCACTTCAGTTTATCTCATCTCAAGGCATTTCACAGTGATACTTCAACCAGATTAAAAGTTTTCTAAGGAAAACCAGCTGATTGCATTGACTCATTCACTCGAAAGCAATTCCTCACATCAAATATGCTTGTAGCGACAGTAAAGAGTAAAACTCCCTTTTAACAGAAATAAACCTCCAGCAGGACCAGGCTCAGTGTGAGCAGCCCAATTAGTCCATGTAGCTAAATATTTATTTTTCTTTCTTTGTTTGGACTTTGCCAAAAATTGGCGAGGTTCAAAAAGGTAATTTTCAACCTTGATCCTGTACAGAAGTGGACAATATCTCACTACTTGTTGCTTTAAGACAAATCATGACCCTTCGCCAGATGCATAATGTCAACACCCAAAAAGCCAAGGTTGTGGCTTTGGGATCAAGGAGCCATCTGCATCTTGTCAGTATATGCAAGAAGAAGTAAAGCCTGTGGGAAATATCAAAAACATTTGAAAACAAGGGGCCGTCTGTGATGCAAGTAAAGCCTGGGAAATGTACCCTCCATCGCACAGAGGTGACTTTAAATTAGCTTTGTGGAAGAGTAAGACATTTGGTGGATAACTTTTTTGTTGTTGCTTGTGCAGAATAAACAGGACATCTCTAAATATGAAAAGCTAAACTACAGAGACCTGCAAGAGGTGTTTGATCATAATCTTGTAAAGTATTAAAAAATGAAAAAAATCTCTACATCCAATCTGATTGAGCTTCATCTATTTTGCAAAGTGGAATAGACAGAATGATGGTCTCTGAATCACAAAGTAAATCCTAATAAAATAAAGAAATCTACAATAATACATTAGGCTTTGTAGCTGCAACAAGACACAATGTTAAAAGTTCAAGTGGTTTGAATACTTCTGTTGAGATGTGGGTATTAAAGTAAGGCTTTGTTTGCCATCCAAACTCACAGAAACACAACCATGTGCAACATTTAACATTTTCACATACACAGAAACTCTAGCTGTTATGTCCCCAGTCCCTTCAATGCACTCGTTGTCTTGTTTCGGTGCCGACATGTGTGGAACTGAGTGACATTGTCATATAGGTAGGCTTTCTGGGAGGACCGGGTCTTGGAGTAATTAGACCCAACCACGAGGAGGTGTGCTCACTTCAACTCTGTGCCACTTGTGGCCCACCATGTGGGAACAAAAGACTGGTCTGACTTTACAATCAGTGTAAGATCCACTTCAGAGCACAAATAGAGCCAATTTTTAAAGCTGGTGGACATAAATAGCTACAAGAACTTTTCACAACTCTCGTTTTATACCTTCAACATGCAGATGACCTGAGTTTAAACTGACATTTCCTGTTTCAGAGTTTATTTTCCACTGAAAAACCTTAACACACATTCTTATTTTTAAATGTATAACACTTGAAGTATTTTCCAACTCAAATGCAGAAAAACAGGAAGGGAATTATGTTTTTTTTTTCCTTCTACTGGCATTCAGTCAGTGGAAACACTAATGGTCCTAAACAGTTTGTACCGCTCCAAACATCTACGGATCTCTCCAACCCTTGCAAAAAAAATCAAAATGTGATGTGGTAACTTGTTTAAGTGTGGTTCTTTAGAAATATGTGGCTAAAATGGAGGGATTTTACTACTTTCCCCCAACAGTTTGATACCCATACACAAATAGGAGTGGAAACAAATCACTGCAGACAGGAGAATCCCAAAGGAATGCAGCCTTTAAATTACGCTTTCACTTATTCTTCAGGAGCTGCTTGGTGTGTTTTAAAAAGTGCCCCTCTGCTTGTTGACATGGTTGACAAAGTAATCCGGATAATAGCCATTAACAGCCAGAGAGTTTAAAGGTTAACGTGGGTTTGCCTCAAAGGTGGAACACTAAGTGTTTCTTCTACAAGATGACCGGATTTAGAGGCAGTTTCTTTCCTGGGGGATTTCAACATATATAAACAGACCAACTACTTTAAATCATTACTGAGGTTTTCCTGCAGATTTCTTGTCTGCAATGCTAATCTCCGGTACGTCGAAAAAAAAGCGTGCTCTTTGGCGGAGATCTGGTGAGTTCATCTGAGTACTGCGGTACTCATCATCATGTTCAAGGAGACATTGAATTATTTGAACTGGCAGGTACATTTAGAAATGCCAGAGTAAGCATTGGTGTTTTTTTGCAAGATCAAGGATAGTACGAAGGAAAAAAATTAGTGTGCTGCCTGTCATAGTTTATGAGGGTTTCCTGTCTGCTTTAATCCTCTCTTGGTGTCTGGACAGCGTGTCCTACCAAAACAAAGCATCTGAGGATTCAACCCCTCTCTCCTTTGGCTCTTTTGGTAACCCCGATGCAGGTGTAGTGGCAACAGGCTTACTGAGTAACCACAGTTTCTTTGGCATGCAGAAACTGTGCCACGCTGCCAGCCAGCTGACCTCTGGTATTCACAACCAGCTTCCTTGCCAAGGCACGGTTGTGACAGCTAGGCATGAGTGCAGGAGAACCAAGGCAATACATTCTTTTGCCCCATGGCAAGACTTAAGATGGCCTAAACACACCACACTCCAAGGCAGGCATTAAACCAGAGTTAACCACAATGAAGCCACACCCGTAGAGGTGAAGAATGCATGCAGATTTGCTGCTGCCCTGCGGCTTCGGATCTGGCAGTTAAATGGAGGCTGGAAGGAGGAGGGAAGTGAAAGGGATGGTGAAAGAAAGGGTTAGGCGAGTGTCGTCTCCATGATCCTACGGCCTGGAAGAGGGAGGATGTGTTTGTTTTTCTGATATCTCCTCCAGTCTATAACTCTAGTGCTCGGCTGACAGACACTGGAAAAGCATCAAGGAAAATATGTACAAACCAGAGTGATGAGAGACAGAATTAAGTAGATGGGAGGTGAGTAATGAGGAGCAAAAGCAATCAAAGTTGAGAGGAGAAGTTGGAGGTAACCAGCAGCTGATCCTAAAAGAATCTCCTTTCCAAGGAGGAATGTGTGGCGGCAGCGTGCACACGCCTTAGATCACACATACTCCAAGGCTGTCAGGGGACTGGGAGGGGGAGGATGGAGACAGAGGAGCTCGCCTAGAAAAACACCAGACGCAGGAAATAGTGTTTTTTAAGGCTGTTTTCAGCGTTACACATGCACGATTCAGCAAAAAGGAGATAGATCACATCGTTATGTTTTCATTTTTCATCTATCATAATATAATAAAAGTTAATGCTGACTTTTATATTGTTTCAACATTTTATAATCTTAATGTTTCTGTATTGCAGTAACAAAGATGAATTCACTCTTAGGATGGCTAATGAAACCCTCTTCCGACTAATTAAGAGCAACAACTCCGCCTCCTGGCTTTGATGGATAAATTCATGACATGCAGTTAGTTATAGCTTCTTGTAAGATAATCTTGATTAAATTTACAATGTTTGCTACTAGCAAATTAACAATGACAGTCACTTTGATTTCAAAACAGGGGCAATAATTTAAACTGCAGTTGAAAAAAAAACAAATAATACAGATACATTCAATGTGAGCAATTAGCAGTGTGAAGCGAATAGGGTTGGATCTACTCCTATTTGCGAGACTTTCAACTGTAATTTAATATGATGCTGCACTTTATGGAATGGAAATGTTCATTTAATGTCTGGAAAGCCTTACTAAACGAAATGTTGCTTTGTAAACACACTTTGTATGGGTCACATCATATGATAATGGGCACACTATCCATATAAAAACAAACTAATGTTGCTTCATGTCCTGCAATAAAACTTCTCTTTGTGGGAAATAGTCATGCAAATCATTGCTTCTGCAGGAGAGAAGATTGTAAAAGGGTATGCATTTAAATAAAATCAAATAAATAAAAAAAAAGTGCATGCATTATCCTCTACAGAGACATGTATTTCTTAGAATGCGAAATAGTCCACATTTTAAACGGATGTGTGAAATGCATTTATGATATAGGGCATGTCATTTGTTTCTAATCTGGTTAGTTTTTATTTTTTTTCTAATGTTTTGGAATTGTTTTAAGTGTATTTTTTTTTATTGAGTTACAGCCAATCAGCTGCATGGCAGACGATGACGTCAACTACATTTTTCCCCCCAAGGTGCGCAAAGTCTGAGGAGCAAACAGGTGCCCCCGTTGCGTAAAAGTGCGCGGGTGGAGTTAGTTTACCTGCCTGGTGAATAGGATGGCAGCGTCGTGGTGATGCTGGTGGTCATCATCCAACGGGTTCTGCTGGTTCTGCCACTTGCAGAAGCTCTTCAACGTCGCCGCCGCGTTCTTGGACACCTCCAGCCCCTTCTCCTTCTCCGTGACCGCGATCACCTTCACCACGGACAGCCGGATGGGGTTCTCTATGCTGGCATGGCCGTACAGCTTGGACGCGATGGAGGCCAGTGTGAGCAAATAGTGGTTCAAGTCCCTGCCGTACTTCTTGGTCATGGTGTCGTCCGCCACCAGGAGCAGCTCCACGTGCCTGGCGCGGGATACTGACCTCTTGGGTCGCGCGCCGGGCTCTTTGACGCGGAGGCTCCACCACCTCCTCCCTCGTGCGTCGCTTCCATCCTCTCCACCCTTTCTTCCAGCTCGGGATCGCCTTCTTCCTGCCGCGTCCCTGCGCCCTCTCCTCCCGTCGCGCGTGCCGCAGCTCTCGCGCCCCTCGCTCAGAGCCTGGAAGCTGAAGCTTTCACGCGTGAACACGTGGAGCGCGCTCTCCGCATCCCGGTCGTGCAGGGTGCGCAGGTCGCGCTCATGTCCCTTCGCGCGAACGATTGGAGTGATGGTGTAGCGCGAGTTGTTGACGGCGAAGAAGCCCTCCAGACCTCCTCCGCAGAGGCTGAAGACAGCCAGGGACTCCGGAATGGAGTTGACCGTCCCGCGGTACGCGCATTCCCGCTGCAGAGGCAGGGGGCTCTGTCCCATCATCGCGGACACATACTGCGGGCTGAAGTGATGCGACAGCACCGACGCATCCCGCTCCATGTCCAGCTGGAATCGCTTTCCATCCAGGTACACGAGGTAGCCCACCTTTCCTCCACCGTTGTAAATCCGATCGATGGTCCTCACCACCCCGTCCGTCATCCGTGCAGGTGCGAGCAGCGAGCCGCTCGCAGGTGGCAGATAAAACCCCTGGAAGGTCGACTCTCCGGATCCCAACTCCACGACGCACAGCAGTAGAAGCTGGAGCCGAAACCAGAGCATGCTCCCGGTCAGAGCGCCAAGAACCTGCAGCATTGTTCACTCAAACCAGAAAAAGATCATCTAGATCTCCTCTAAAACCTCCCCGGCGTGGAAGAAGGAGACAACTTTAGGTGTTTTTTTGTCGCCCGTGCGTAAAAGCGCATCCTCTCCGTGTCCGGATTCCCCCCCTCCCCGTGCACAAAGCACACAGCAGTGACCAAACAGATGAGAAAACAAAACCATTGAGAGAGAAGTAGGAAAAAAAATAAAAGGGAGGAAATGGAGCAGGAGAGAATAACTCTTCGCAGCCTGGAAGAGGACTGAGCTGAACTTGGCTGAACAAAAACACAAAGTTTGCTCTTAATAGGACCCAGAGAGAAAAAGTCCTGCCCCCTTTGCGCTCAATCACCACTCCCCCCCCCTCTCCCCTCTGCCTCCCTCTCCCTTTCTTCTTCAAATCAGAGTAAATTTAAGTAGTGGAGGAGAGAAATCAGAAAAATGGCTCCTGTGGTGCCATTGTCTGCAAAAAAACATCAAAATCCCCATTTTTGCCTTTCAATGGAAATAAAAACCATCAACAACAGGATCAGCATTGGCCTTAATTTCCTTTCACGCTTTAATTCAACTCCACAATTTCAACAAATTAAAAAAATATATCAAGTATGGTTATTTACAGAGAAAGCCAGAGACTTCACTGTGGAAATATGTCAATAAAGGTGCTGCTTGAGTCCAGCAAGGGGGAGAAAATGACTGCAGGTGTATGTCTGGGTCTGGAGCCTTCCTGATTATTTATTGGAGTTTCCTCCCCCCTGCTACCTCTGTGGGATGTTGTTCAAAAGTTTGCCGGTGCTGTCAGACAAACAGCCTCCCAGAGGGCTGCTGGCATGGAAGCAGTGTTTTTAAAAGTTCTATTCATAGTTGCTGAGTCACCTTAAGAATTTTTTTTTTTTTATTATTCTTTTTGATGTGCTCTCCTAGGATGGCTGTCATCTGTGGATTTGGAGTTTCCATCCAGCTATTAACTTTTTTTTTAAGTCACATGTGATTTGGTGAGGTCAGAGGTAGAGAAGGGAATTGACATCCATACTAAGCTTATTTTTACCCAACTTCTTACATCAAAAGAGGTATATAATCTGGTATTACCTCCAACTACAAAACAAATCAGAAGGGATGCCTCAACAGGCAACTCTTTATAATATAATTTCCTCCTCCTATGAGCTAATTTCTCCAATTTTGCATATTTATGTATTGACTTTGTCATCTTATAGCTACCTACCTGCTCACCAGGACTCTGCAGACGTCTTCATGCAGCCCAGATTTTCTCAGACCCTGCAAACAACTTTTAAGGTAACGTTTAAAAACTAGTGTAAGGGAATGTATTTTTGTTTTAAATGTTGAAACCTTTTTTTTTTTTGCATCTGCAGACCAATGCAGTACCAGCCTTCAATACAGAGCCCTGTTGATCAGTTGACAGTGCAGAATATGAGAATCAGATATCGTATTTCTAATTTCCTACATCAACGGTTAGAAGTGAAAGTCGCATTTTAAGCTGTCAGTTTTCCATTTAAGCTGCTAATCTCAAACATTTGGGATGGCTGACCGGGAGCGTGGGCAGTGAGAAAAGTCTCGGTTCACTTTGATCCACAAATAACACAAAGCTTTTTTTTTTCCTCCAAAAAGCCAAGGAAGAGACTTTATTTGATCAGGTCTCTCAGAATAAAAGGAAAAATAATGGGAAGGAGTCAAATGAGAGCTCATGACCCCATGATATGAAATCCTTGCCCCTCCCTGCTCTTCTTTACCTGATGACAGACGCTGAGACAGATCCTGTATCAAGTTGGACTTGGTGCCCATATCACCCTCCTGTTATGCAATGCCCCCCCCTCACAGACTGCTTCTTTTACACCAAACTGCCAAATGAACGCCCGAGGCTAAGAGACGCCCTTAAGTTCAGGAGAGGTCTTGGACCTCTGGAAAGGGAGCAGGGTCTGCTTTTTTTTCATCGTATTTTTTTCAAAACGATGCAGCTGCAAGCTAAGTGGCATCAAGCCTAAGCTGAAATTAACGATCCCAGAGCATCTTTTCAAAGCTCTACTTTGGCTCTCTCTCTCTGCTTCTCTCCTCTATGAATCTCACACACTCAGCCTCATTGGATGTTTTTTTTTTTTTTATCCCTCCTCCATCATCTGAAAGAGGGATGCATCCATGCCAAAGCATCCATATGGACGTTAAACGCCCACACAACATCACACAGTAACCTGGCTCACACGTGGGAAGCAGGCTGCACTATGATGTTTTGCAAACCAAAACAAGTTGGGTGTGTGAACGGCGCGTGCCGAGCCACGTGCGCAAAGGGATCTGCCCACTTCCTGCGGCGACTGAGCAGAGAGGGAATCCAAAACGCCTAATTGACAGGCCGTGCCGTTTATATAACCACAGGGTTATGTCGTCTCTTGTCCCCATGACGCCCCCCCTCTGCATCCTCTGCCCACACATATTCCCTCTGCATCCCAACGTTGGCGCCTAAATGACCAATTCCCATCAGGATGAAGAGTCTTTCCACTCAAATGACAGGCATGCTTCCAGCATCTGTCGCCGTAGTGACGTGATGACTGGACCACAAGCATGCGATGTGCTTGTCGACACCTGCACGCGCACTTCCACTCAGTTTCACACACATCTGGAAATAAACAGTCAGCATGAAGCTTATTTTTCTCCAGAACGAGTACGTATATTGACTCAGAAGTGAAAATAAGAGGAGGCACATGTACACAGCTGTAAACAGATGATAACAAGTAGATGAGTCGATGCAAAAACTTAAGTACTTCAAAGAAACTCGGTCAGGAAGACGCCATCCTCCAGGTTTGCTTACAGGACCGCTTACATGTATATAACATCACACCCGCTCATGAAATACTTCACTGCCATCCGATTTTAAAGATCTACACCAGCGATCCCAGCATACAGTACATTTTGTCCCGGACTTACAGAGCAGGAAGCTGATCTGGAGACCCAGAATGAATTATTAAAGCACATCTGATGGAGTAAACTTGCACACATTTAGAAGAGAACAACAAAAAAGAAAGGAAAACTTTCAGAGTTTGCTGTATCAGCACGCACATAAGAGTACAGCACAAAAATAAGAAATAGTTTCAGTAATTCTTCAAGTTTACATTTTCATTCCTTTCCCATTAGGTTGCTGTCAAAACTTGACAGACAACTTCTATATTTGCAGGTTTCTCTCATTTCTAAACATTTCCACATACAGTGTACCTTATATCCAGAAAAATACAAGAAAAAATAAATAACTAAAAGCTGCATTGATTTGTACTTTCCTTTATAACGTTTGATTCATTTTAAGCTTTTATTTTCTAGTCTTCCATACTTAGATGTTTTAAGGATTTTCCTGCATCCATTGGCTAAAAGAAGTTTACAGAAATCTCACATCAGTTCAGAGGAATTTCAGTGTACAAATACATGAATTAGAAGATGTAAATCAATAAAAATCTGCTATCTCTTCAAAAGCTAGATTATTTCTAATGCTGACATAATGCCAAATTTGATGTTTTAGACACGACTCAGATTAAGGTTAACAATAAAAACAACAGCACATCACAAACATTAAAACGCGGTTTTGCCAGCATCATGCTCTAGGGTTACCTTTGGTGGATGAAATTATGAATAGTTTTAAGTAGCAGGAAAATCCTGATGGATTAGATGTTTATAAAAAAAGAACTGAGAGCAAAAACTGAATCAAACGGTTCTTTAACAAACTAATGATACTTTAAAAGTGTTTAAAGCTTTTCCACCCAATCAGCTTGTTTTTCACTTTAATTATACAGGATACATGTGAAGTACTACTGTAATAATGTCAAAGAAATTACTTTAACAGGGCTATTTTAACATTTGAGAGCCAATCGATATCCTTAAATAGTCATTCATAACCTGCATATCGCTTAAAGATGTGTTTGTTGATAGAAAGTTAATTTTTTTTTGTTTAATACAGTGGAAAAAAAAGCCTTAGTCGTGAGTTATGACTTAAAGAATACAATGCTGACATCTTTTGGTCTCAGTGGTTTAAATACATTTTTATTTATATGCATAGCTAATGCTATCCACCTCTGATTGGGTGATAAGTCCTTGATGACTCCTCTTCAGAAAACATGTGGTGCTCATGAGCTGAGAGGAAAGTTATTTTTAAAAAGATTTAGAATTAGAAATTAAGTTTTCTTTCAATTCATTTATCTCTGCAGAATATTAATTTCTTTCCACATATTTCAAGTATATAATTCTTAATTTAACCACAGGATAGTAAAAATATTCCCTAATAAATTAGAACATCTTTCTTTAAATTTGGACTAATATTTAAAGGCTTGTTAAAGTCTGGAACTTCCCTCCACCCTCCCCTTCCCCCTACTGCGTAATACAGGTAAACCTCTTTAAAGACAAAAACAAGAAAAACAGTCACAAAAAGATAACTTAAAAAATTTGGTGCATATGCTAGAAAAAAATAGTGGAGTTCTTTTTTTTTGTTCTATAAAGCATGAGCTGTATTTTCAAACAGTTTAAACAAGGGTTGCAGAAGGCATAAAACACCATAACAAATAAATTGATTTTGGCGTTTCATCTTTTCATCTCTAAAGCTTGACATATTTTTAACTTTAAATGTTATTTTCACCTTACCAATAAACAGGAAAGAATCTTTTCATCTTTTGTTCAATTATATATGAGTATGACTTTGTCTCCCAGCTTATAGTTTCTGTTTAATATTGCTTTTAATAGTTTAAACAAAAGTATTGCAATTTATACTCGGGAACTACCGACGTATACACTGCTGTTCTAAAGAAATACTGTGATGCAGAATCAAACTAAAGCACGTCAGTCAAATCTGTCACTATGGCTACGTTCACCTTGCAGGCCTTGATGCACAATTCTGATTTTTTTGCATTGCTGTTCACATTTCCTAATATATGCGACTTGTATGTGATCTCCTGTTTGTGTCCCACATGCGCAGTAGAGGACGCAATGACGTCAAAAGCGAGCATGCTCTGTGTTTACGGAAGTAAACATGGATGGTAGTGCTGGAGAACATCTAGCGATCTTTCCCAACCATAAAAACTCAATCTTTCCAAGATGGTTAAACATAAATACTGCTCTCCGCAACATCGTCCACCATTGTTTTTCTTACCACTTCTGTGTAGCAAGAAGCAGAAGAGTGACCACTGTCGGGTATAAATAACATTCAGGTCGGATGAATGCGACCTGGCCGTTCAGACACAGGTCGCAAGATCAGATTCGTATCGGATTCAGGACCACATAGCCAAGTGGCCTGGGTCACATTGGAAAAATCGGATCTGCGTTGTTCAGAATGTCATAAAAAGATCAGATCCAGGTTGCATGTGTGCAAAAAAAAATCGGATTTGGGTCACTTCAGGCTGCAGTGTGAACGTAGCCTATGTATGAGTTCACAACAGCTTATTTTAAGTGCTTTGGAGCAACAGTGCTATTCAACTGGAGCATCAACATGGTCTGGATGCTAAACGTAATACCAGCGTCACGCCTTGATGATTTAGACAGCTTATGCCTGACGTATGGAAAATCTTGCAAAAACGCTGGCATACCTTGGATAAGTTACGGGTACGTTTTGTATTAGTTATGATCACGCTGAAGTACGCTAAAACACGCTGGCACACGTCAACATACGGCAAGTACGTCAAGAAATAATTTCTCCACGTATGCCAGCCTATGCTCATACGTGGGCCATAAGTTATAATTTATGGGTAAGTTATTTGATCGTTGACATACGTAAAGTGTAAGTTAGTCATAAGTCGTGGTTACCCTTCTGCAAAACTTATGCATAACTTATCAAGAACTAATCTAAAACGTATTTGAAGTGTTCCACTTATTTGATGTGTAGCAGACATGGCGCTAAATCTGTTACGACTGCAAACTTTTCTTTTGTTTCCTTTCTATTCATTATTTTTTATTTTTGGTAAACAGGAGCTACGTTAATACCGCGATCAAAGAACTATCTTTATGCACACTGGGCGCCTCCGGGTGCATCGCTGCCCCCTCAGGACATGGGCTTGTGACATTTTATGGGCATTACGCTGCAGTGCATCATGCATAAGTTAGGCCATGTCGTAGGACATAAGTTCTGGACTTGTTATGAATAGTAAACGCACAAAATTGAAGACATACATAGAAAGTTCAGCGTATGGCAGTGTTTTAGAAGATTCTGGGACGTCAGGCATACGCTGTCTCAATCGCCAAGGTGTGACAGGGCCCTAAGTGATACTCCACATTAATCATTCGACCTCACATGTCTGACTCATGGAGTCATTTTAGCAGACATGCTAACACACTGAGTCTCTCATAGAGAGTATAGCTGTAGCTGAGGACTGTGTGCTGGTGCCAAACAAAAGGAACGTCAGTAGAGGGGTTGTGGTTATACATGGTCCTCAAGTACAGTGACTAAACTGTAACATAAAAAAAAAGCTATGACAGAGAGAAAGAGATATAAAAATGGGTAAGATCCAGGAGTTTGTGCTGTTTTTTTGTTTTCCTATGGTAAAAACCAAATACGCTGCCCAGGAACAAGAACAGGAGCTAACCAAACTCGACTCCTCTGTAAGGAAGTGGTGCAGAGTAAAACTGTTCTCAGTGCATTATTTTGTAGCGTTGTTTTCTCCTTATGTATAAACATTGAAGGCATATGTTTGAGGTTTTTTTTTTTGGGTGAATAATAACATTTCCCTAATGGATATCCAGTCTCTTCTGTTGGGATCAGCCTTAAACTCTACTGTTCTGTTCAGCAAACCTGATGGGCTGAGCAGCATACATTATGTTCATTATTGTCATGTCTTCTTTTCCTGGATGAGTTCTAGGATTTGTTCTTTTGGCTTCCCGTTGAGAGGCAGCACAGGACTGTAGGTTAATGCTGAGCCGTTGGTGGAGAGGTGCTGGAAGCCCGTAGAGGACTTTTCAGCAGGGCTGCAAAGGCGATGGAAGCGCTAAGGAGTAAAAAGAAAATCCATTAGAAAAATAGATTCTCATCTTTTCAGTAGGGTTTTTATTTTATCATCACAATGTGTTGAAAACTACCTGGGGCAGGGTTCCAGGAGTGGTGAGGAGAGCATAGACAGCCCAGATAGGGAGCAGGGAAACGGACGAAAGGGTCAGCATCCAGCCTAGGGTGGTGGCCCAGACTGGGGCGACGAGGCCTTTTCCCAGGCTCAGCGGAGACCAACACACCAAGGAGAAAATAAAGGTTGCCTAAAACAAGACAGAGAACGATATATTCATGCAAAGTCGGCATTAATAATCCTAAACGGCTAATTTGGCTAGAGACATTGTTCCCACCATGAATACTTGCTTCCAGATGGGAAGATGTATTAATTAACAGCTGCCGTTAAGTAAATACACATCTCCAAGAATCTTCCCATCTGATGCACAACCAAAAAGTATTCATCCGGTGTGAATACTTTTTCTTTCTGAGCTAATGTTTCTCCCACAACATAAACCAGCATGGTTACATGCTAAGCTACAGCTAACTGATGAGAAAAACCAAGGGTGACAGGATGTCCCCGATTTCAGGGGGTAATCCCCATTTTATACCACCTGTCCTCGGCTAAACCTGTTTTATGAATGATGGGGGGAAATGTTTCATGCAGACTGTTAATACGGTAAAAAAAAAAAATGCGTGAGCATGTTGCAGTAGCATTTTGTTAACATAAAGATGATTAAAAGAGCACACCGCTTGTTCGACTTTAATGATCCTTATGGATGTCAGCTGCCATTAAAACACAAAGAAGAAAAAGAGCACACCACTTTGGATACGTTCACACCGCAGCCTGAAGTGACCCAAATCCGATTTTTTTGCCCATATGCGACCTGGATCTGATCTTTTCATGACAGTCTGAACAACACAGATCCGATTTTTTCCAATGCGACCCAGGCCACTTGGCTATGTGGTCCTGAATCGGATACGAATCTGATCTTTTCAAATGCAACCTGCGTCTGAACGGCCAGGTCGCATTCATCCGACCTGAACGCCATAAGTAACCAACATAGGTCACTATTCTGCGTTTTGCTACACAGAAGTGGCAAGAAAAACCACAACAATGGAGGACAATAATGCAGAGCTCAGTATTTTTTTTAACCATCTTGAAAAGATTGAGGTTTTAAGGTTTTGCACTCCAGCACTACATCCATGTTTACTTCCGTAAACATGAAGCGGGCTGGCTTGTGATGTCATTGCGTCCTCTACTGCGCATGCTGGACGCGTAAGCTGTATGCATGCAGTTCACACAGGAGATCACATACAAGTCACATATATTTTTGAAACGTGCAAAAAAATTGGATTTCAAAAAAAAAATCAGAATTGAGCATCGAGGCCTGCAGTGTGAACGTAGCCTTTCAGTTTAAAAAAAAAATATATAGTAAAATAGACTTGGATTAAAAACTCCTTATAAGGCGCTAATCTAGTTCGGTGGTTCTCAAGGGTTCAAGAACAGTTTATTTACAGATATTTTCGAACTATATTTAAGAAAGTTAGTTATTATAAGTTGTTTTTCTGAATTTATGATTGTGATTTACGATCATAGGTGTGCATTTCTACCACTCAGTTTGGATATGAGAACATTTCTCATGAAAAATAGGAGTCAGTAACAGGAAAAATCAGATACGATCTGCATGATCTAAAGATAACTACCTATATAAAGTTCATTTATTGTGCTGTTTTTGCTTCTAGCTCCAAATATTATCCAAAATAAATATTAATTAGCATTTTTTTGCATTTAATCAGATGAGATAATTATAATTATATGTTTTCCTGTTATAAATTCTAATGTTTTTGGTAGTGATTTTGATTTATGTCTCTGTTTTAGAAAGTGGAAGACTGATAGACGAGGAGAACAGAAAAAAGATAGGAGAGTGAATAAGAGTGGAGGACAACTGGAACGCTAATGGGAAAAGTAAAACAGAAAGCAGACAGAAGTCAGAAGAGGGCTAGAAAGAAAAGAATGTAGAGAGAGAAGAAGACAAAGAAGTCTGACTGGACCAGATGTTTGTATTTACTTTTTTTTGGTTTTGCTTTTCCTCATGTCCTTCTCTTAGGGGGGAGGCAGAGCTCTTTAGACCCCAAAAATCGGAAAGCCCTGCTAACCACCATTGACCCTTCCCTCTCACTCCCAACCTAGAGACACAGTTCTAATTCTATCGATTTATTCATTTTATTAATCTTAAGAAAATACTACGAGTGTTAAGAGACATATTTCTGACTTTTACACTTAATTTTTGTTGTATAAACATTAATACACTTGTAAAAATGTTATTTCATCTTGATTAAATGTACTTTTTGTTATCTATCAGCTGGAAATGGCCCCAGATTTGATTTCAGAAATCTGGTGACCTTAAAAAAAACTTAAAAGGCATCTTTATGGTAATGTGGTGAAAAATGCCACAGTAGCAAACTTGTCTTATTGCTACATTGAAGGTCACCAGATTTCTGAAACCTAATCTGGGGACATTTCCAGCTGGTAGATAAAAATAAATAAATCTCACCGAGGTTACAATTAGGATACTGGGCCAGTAATGGTTTCATTTATTTTTACATATTTATTCATATTTAAACAACAAAAATAAAGTGTAAAAGTTAGCAATGTGCCTCCTGACACTGTTAGTATTTCCTAGGATGATTAAAATAAATAAATTGATAGTGTTAGAAGAAAACTAGAACTGTCTCTCTGGGGAAAGGGGTGAGGGTGGGAGTGGAGGGGTGAGGGTGGTAACCAGGTAGGGTTGCCACTTTCCTAAAAAAAAAAAAAAAGGGACTCGTGTGTGCCTCCGTGGTGATTTTTTTTCAGCCCCTCTTTTTGTGAAATTATTTTTTTAACCTATTTGACTCAAATCTGCATTGAATTAGATGCATATTTATGAGTGACATGAACAAATTATTATCCAGCAATTCAATTTAATACAAAATAACAAACTTTGCTGAATAAAATAAGTTTCTTAAACATAGGGCTGTCCTGCTTAACTTCAAACTATAAAAATGAATATAAAAGAATAAATAAATAGTGCACATTTTTGGTGCAATGGCAAACTTGTGCAAACTTGTAAACATATTTGTGCCTTAAATGCAATGACTGTAGGCTACAGTTGTAAAACAGAAAAAAATCATTAGCTCAATGCCACATTATGTGGTGATAGCCTGCTTTTTCCCCTTGTATTTCCTCTGAGCTCTTGCAGCAATGAGGAGTTGTCCACCCCCAACAGCAGCTCTGTTCGCCCCCCCATATTGCTCTGTTTTCTCCCCGTATCGTCTCCGTGAGCAACACTTGGCTCGACCAATGGGATGAGGGCATTCTAGAATGTTACATGTATGTTGTCAGCTCATTGGTCACAGCGGAGGACACTGCCCGGGAACAAGTTTACCGTAAGTTTTGTATCTAACGTGCCCTTGTTCTTAATTTTCTTTATTTTTCTACTCTCAGTTATAAAAAAAGTGCGTGGGACAAAGTGCGTTCCTTTTCTACTAAATACAGGACAGGTGCTTCTATTTCTAAATACGTAACAATTCCGTTTTTCAAGGCAACTCTATTACCAGGGCTTTCCAATTCTGCAGAGACTAAAGAGTTACTAGCATTGCTAAGCTGTACCTATGTTTGTACCTACGTTTATACCCGTGTTCTTTTACTCTGTAACAGTACTTTGAAGGATAATGTAGATAAATATTTTTTTTGCCAAACTCATGATAAAGTAAACACAAATTTTAAGTGTAAAGTTACTCCAGAAGCTGTTCAATAAAGGCTAAGCTCCTCCATGTATAACATCTCTACTCTGCTGAAAACCCTCCATGATCTTGTACTGCAGTTGGAAGATAAGATCACGCTCCTTCCCAAGATAATGTCCAACAACAGATGGATTCCTTCTTTGGGATGCAGAGCAGCGCTAATATTCAACTTCCAGGACAGGCGGCAGCAGTCAGGCAGGATATTTTAAATTTAGCAAAGCTGCACCCAACTACCTTGAATAATAGCTTTTCTGACAGCTACTATAACGTCGTGAGCTTGACAGTCTTCTGTGATGCAGCGGCGGCGTTCCATGGAAGGAAACTTGGGAAGTTGAGAAGTGTCAACCTAGCTTTAGGGAGGAAGTCTGCATATTTTGTCTAAACTTTTCTAGACTTTAATTTCTTCCTCAATCATTTGATCCCAGATTAAGAATAAACCCTAAAAGTCAGGATGAATCTATGGCAGGTAAAGTGGTCAGACATTTAATGCAGAAACTGGGAAAATGGATATTTCAATTGATGGATGAATCAATGGATGGATATTGGGTGGAAATATGGATAAATTAATAATGAATGGATGTTAGAAAGGACAATAGTTAGATGCAGATACACACAGATGGATTTACATTTTACATCATTTAAAGAGAATACATTCTGGACCTAAAAGTACACACAATTTCTTTCATTTTCAGAATTTTCCAGGCTGGAAATGTCTAAAACCAAAAGCTAGAATTTCTATTTTCCATCAAATCAGATCTACCACATGATTGCTGTTTCCTAACTGTTTTCTGGCCTCCTCATCAACCTCACTCCCCTTCTCTTCCACAATGAAGTCCAAATATTTTTGTAATCATATAAGGTATTCAGTCTGACTGATAGACGTGGGGTGAATCTTTCATGTGCACCACTTCACAGCGAGGCGACGCGGTCCAGTTTGAAAGCAGACAGATGTTACTCACAGTGCACACAGCAGGAGTCAGATACTTCCAGCACAGCTTGAAGGCAGAAATGGGGGTGTAGCCCGTCATATCTTTGATGTTGGCACTGAATCGATCGGCTCCTTGACAAAAAAAAAAAAACGTAAAAAAAAAAAAGTTAGCTTTGACTTAAAAAGTTCTGTGAAAAATATTTTGCACTGTATAGATTTATAACATCAATCTGGGCTAGTTCACTCCCTCAAGAGTGGAGTTAAGAAACCATCCAATCAGAACCTCTTTGACCACATAAATTAGACTAAACCATCACAAAAAGATATTTTACAATTGTAAAAATAGTTATGATGTTTAGGTTCATGTCTGCGGGACTCCAGTGAACCACAGTGAGAGTTTCTGTCCAGAAGAGGAAAAAACACAGAACAGTGTATTGGGCTAACAGAAATTACTCCAAGAGGGCGACATCGACTAATCCAAGAGGTAAAAGAAACTAAAATGACATCTAAAGTACTTGAGGTTTAATTTGCCTCGTCTAGAGTCTGTTTTACAGATTTAGGGAGAAACAGGCTGGAAAAAAATGGCTCAAAAACAAGCAAACAAAAATTAATGTAAAGGCCATTCTCATTTGATCCACAGTGAAAATACCATTCAGCTGTAATCATTAGTTATTGTTATTTAACAGCCTGATGAATAAAAAAAAAAATTAAAAAAGTCTACCTCCCAATATTGATGAAAAAACAACAAATTCATGTTTTGGTGTGGCCTAGTCAAAGTCCACAATAAAAATGGATTAAGAAGGGGAATTGCCGTTAACAGGTTGCATGTACTCTAACAATTCAAATAATTTACTTTTCTTTGGCTTATATTATAGTTTAAGTTTCAATGATCATATAAAATATAAAAGAGCCACAAAAAATGTGTAAAAGTTTGAATATGGTGGTCGGATCCATTGTTTTTATACTGAGTGGCTGAGAAAGAAAGATAAACAAAGACATGAAAAAAGATGAGATTAATCTGCTGTTGAACCTCTTTCTCCTGCGCCAGAGTCCCATACACAAAGTCCTCCCCCCCTAGACCACATGTGAAGCCGGGACCTAAAACTGTAGATTCCCACAGCTATAAAAGAGGTGAGTGGGTGAAGCTGAGACATGACCGCTGCATTACCCAACTGCAAAACCTGTCTGTTGTGGTTCTGGTCCAAAAAAAAAAGCTCTGACTTTTTCTTTAAAGTTGCCAAAAAATGATTTAAATAATAACTGGGCTGTTCTTGTGGTCGGCCATCTCTCCTTTAAGCTAACAATGTCTCATGCAGTTTTAGCGACTCATTTCTGGCGCGGGCTCCCTGGAGCCACTAGCCTGAGAGGCGAAAAGACCCGGGGGCAGGTTTAGTGCCCGGTGGAGACAGATGGAGGGGGTCTGGCCGGGAGCCAGTCTCCTGACAACACTAGACTGGAGCTGGAGCCAGATTAATGCACAGACTCCTGACTGGAGGTGGAATGCAGGAGGAGGAGGAGAGGAGCGTCCATCAGAATACACAACATTCATCAATGATAACATTTTAATTAAATTCTCACATCAATCTGAACTGAAAGGATTAAAAGTAAAGATGCCTTCAAAACAAGACAGAAGTAATAAATAAATAAACAAGAGGTGGGAAAGAAGTGCAAGTATGAAAATATGATCTACATAAAAGTATTTATTTATTGAGCCTTTCAGCTGTTTTTTACACGTAGACATTGTTTGTTAATATTTGTTCGATTAAAAACCAACTAGATTATGGTTTATAAAATAAACTGATTAACACAAAGTGTCAGATAATTAAAAAGTGATTGAAAAATGATTTGTTTTGTAAGATAAATATCTGAAAAGTGTGGTGAACAGATGTCTTTAGCTCCAGTAAGTTAATACTAGGATACAGAAAGTCTTTTAAGATATATCTTGGTTTTAAGCATCTACCTAGAGTCTATAGCCCCATTTACACTTCCCTCTGAAAACCGATCCCTGCCGAGTTCGGACCGAGCTTTGATCAGTTAGCCGAGCTGAGCCTTTGTTTCTCACAACCATTTACACACTACGCTAGCACGGTTCCTGGCCTCCTAGTGTCGATCTACGGTACTAGATTCTCTATATAGAGGGAATCAAGAATTTCAACATGGTGGCGCCTGTAGCATTCAGGAAGTATGGTTAAAATTGTGATATTTAGTAGTTTGCGGACAGAGAGACGAAGAAGGCAGCCTTCTGTGAATTTACTTGATAGTTGGCTTTTGGGAAGTGGATACGACAAACAATAGTCTAATCAGGGCTTACTGTTGGGATCTGGAGGCTTGTCAACCTTTCTCCACCAGAGGGAGCCTGAGATCTTCCTCCTGAGGGCGTGAGCTGACTTCTGCACACCTGTTTCCCATCTGCTCATCTGGAGGCTTTCTTAAGGAGGAGGAGGCTGACACTTCCCTGCCAGAGTGTTTGCCAGTAATGGTACCAGCAAACCTGAGCCAGCTAACTCTGATCTGTTTTCCTGATTTTTTGAGAACCTCTCAGACTCTGTGTTCTTCTGCCTCTCAGATCCTGACATATCTGGTGATCAGTCAACTCCTGGAGAAAACTCTCGCTGCCTGGAACCTGCCTGTCTGCCCTCCGCCTCTGCCCTCAGCCTGCCGATCAGCCTCTGGACCCTCAAGGTTCCCCCCCCTGCTGGTCAGAATACCCCCTGAGCAGGTATTAACCCAAACTGCCGTTAAACAGCAAGTTTCCTGGATCCACTCTAACCGATCTGTCCTCCTCTAGTTGCTTCCCTCCCGTGACCAGCCTGACGAACCAAGACCCCGTTCACATTTCTCAGAAAACATTGTCAATAAACCTTTTAACTTTTTTCCTGTCTCTTGAGTGTTTCTGCATGTGGGTTAGAAGATTAGACCCCAACATGACACTTACAGACGCAGGAAACAATGACAAACGTTGAGGTTCATCTCACTGCTAAGCCGAATCATCACTGGAAATTGTGTGGCATGGTAGGGGGGGCTTGTGTTTTTATTAATGTCTGAAATTTCATTATAACGGAGGCTGACCGTAAGGGCGCGTTCTGCTCATGCGCTCTTTGTTATCTAAAAACTGAGCCACAACTGAAACGCGCCAAGCCCTACTGATGAACTAGTACAATGTTAGCGCGCTGTGTTTCTGTCCGGCGCGGTGCGGTTAAGTTTTGCGCACTAGTTTGCGTTTTGCGTACACTCCACATTTATCTCATTGACCATGTTTAGACTGATCTTGGGACGTTTTCAAAAGGGTAGTGTAAATGGGGCTTAAGGTTTCAGTACCAACTGAAGCCTGAATTAGTCTGGGCTTTGACTAGGCCATTCTAACACATCAATAATCTTAGATTTAAATTACTTCGGTGTAATCCTTAATTAAACCAAAGAAGTTTTCCATCATATTAAATATAGGGTTGAAACATTTCATTGGATAAATGGTGATAAATCAATTATTGAAATAATCATCAACTAATTTAATAATAAATGTATTTATCTGACAGAGAGACCCACTTAGTGCAGTTATTATATCAAAATTGTAAAAAAAGTTATATACAAATTTTGCATTTAAGATTATAAAACGTTTTCGTCTGTTAATATGCTCTATCTAGATTTCCTTACATGGAAAGGTTTTAGTTTCACATGGTTTAATTTAGTAAAAAAAAAATCTTCTCTGATGAAGCTTTGGCTATCCGATTATTAATCAATTAATCATATTCAACAGATTTATCCAGCCCTAATTAAATGTTTTGAATAATGGCCAAAAATGTATTTTCCTCAGTTCTTGCTGTTGGTTTTGGTCACTAAAAAAACCCAAAGGCGGTCAGAGAAAGGGTGGACTATATTCACTAATCAAGTCTCTTCTTATCAGCTAAACTAGTTTATTTAGTATATTAAAAAAAAGCCAAATGAAGAGGCCATGTACATTAAAAGTGAAGCCAAAGAGCTTCTTACCGTAGACCCAGCCGATGGCCAGAGACTGGAAGATGGAGAGAAGCAGCAGGCTGGCTCCACTGCATGAGAAGTGATCATAGATCTGGAACACGTAGAGGCCACCCTGTGGGATGTGAAAACATACATAGCTCCGCATTCCGCCAACATGTTTTGTAGTTACCATAACCACCTAAAAGTCAGCAATTATTTAATCTAAATATATTTAATGGGGTCATGTGACAGCATGAGGGTCATATAATACTCACTGGTGTGACCATGACCAGCCCGACCAGGAAGCAAACCACACACACAAACAGCAGCAGCAACTCTCTGCGGTATCCTCGCCGGATCACGTGAGGATACAGGTCAGTCACCGAGGTCATGAGAGCCTCCAGACTCACAAACTGAACCAAGAGAGGAGAAAGCGTGTGTGAGCGCTGACAGCTACAGACCTCACTGACATTAGATTATCATGTGAAGGTGAGTGTCTACCTGCGTGTCGAGTCCCAGCATGATGATCATGAGGAAGAAGCAGACAGCCCAGAGCTGAGGAACAGGCATCATGGCGACTGCTCTTGGGTAGGCGATGAAGGCAAGACCAGGCCCTGTCAAAGCATATGGTTATGTTATTGTTATGCATTAAACTCCAAATAAATTCTAAATCATTCATATTCCAAAAGGGAGGACATTTTTGTAAAAATAATTTAATCTGAAATATTCCCATCAAATATTTAATCTTGTTTAATATACCCCTATATATATATATATATATATATATATATATATATAAACACTTCACATCCATAGAGCAGACATTTCAGCTTTACTGCCCTAAGAATTTATTCTATTTTTTGGGGATCATTCAAAATAACTAAACCTTCAAAACATATTTTATCCTAAAATATTTAGATCAATTCCGAGAGGGGAAGCCAAACGTCTTCAAACCTTGGAAACCAAGTCCAGTGGATTGTTTTTTTAAACCTTTATGGAATGACTATGACCTGGATGACTGAGAATCTTCATCAGCATCAATATAATCAATATCTTGAGGAAAACTGACAAAATACTACAGTAATTTGCCCATTTAGTCAGTATTCCATTATTGTATAGAATTTAGAAATGTCTGTGGTTGCAAGCAACATTTGGCATGGTGTTTTATTTTATTCTTTTTAATCCTTGGATTAAAAACTGAAAATGTTACACTTGATAGGACAGAAAATATTAGCTTCCTCATATCAGCTGTAAGATTTTAAGAGATCAATATTTAAAAAAAATTAATTATTTCCAGCATTTTTAATAATTCTAATGCTTTTGTATTATAAAAAAAAACAACTAAAATCGGTCTTTTTTTTAAACAGGGGTTATCTAACATCATGATATTACGTATTGACTCGTATTACATTTTTTAATCAAAGTAACCCTTTCTAATATGAGTATTTTAGACTGTTTCAGCTAATTCTAGGAACTAAAAGCGGGAAAATTGAACTGTTTCTCCCAAATATTAGCTATATTCTTACAAAAAAACAACAACCATAAAATCGCCTAGAAATGGTGCAAAAAGTTCCCACAATTTCTTAACAAGTATCAGTTGATATCCTATTTTATACCTGATTGAGCCACAGTGCCTATGTCTACACCCTGCTCCTCAGCCATGAAGCCCAGCACTGAGAAGATGGCGAAACCTGCCAAGAAACTGGTGGCGCTGTTCAGGAGGCAGAGCATGAAGGAGTCCCTGGAAACAAATATGCAACGTCACCTGATTGCACACAGAAGAAAAAAGGTTGTTTATCTTTATAAAAGCAGTCGGATCTGGAAATCTGAGGCTGTTTGGTGAGGAGTGTGTGTGGGAATGTGAGAGTGTGGGAAACATGGCAGCGAGGGCTTTTCTTTGAGGTGTGGCTGTGTCAGGCTGTTTTCTCTGCCCATTCCTGCCATTCCTTGCGGAAGCCATCTGACCAGTGGGAGCTAACATTTTACATTTCAATGTGTGTGTGTTAGAGAGAGGGAGTCAAAGTGTCTCACTTATAGCAGTCATTGTTGTATTTGTTGTAACTGCCCAGGGCTGTGAGACTTCCCAAGCAGATCCCATAAGAGAAAAATATTTGAGTACCTGCATCCATCCATACCTAGAGAGAGAAGAAGGAGCAAAACCAGGAAATGAAAGGAGATATTAAAACAACCTTTTTTATGGTCAAATTTTACAGCCTTGATTGTAATATCTATGAAACACCTTCCTGAGCCTTTTTACATGTTTTTCCATCAGATTAAACGTATCTTCTTGGTATTTTATGTTATCGCTCAATAAAATAGAAATAACCAAAAACTACAACCAAAACACATTAAATTATACAACTGCAAATTGAAACCATTAGAAAAGTTGTCTGGGTGTGAATATTTTCCCAAGTCACAGCCATATCATCTGAAACAATAACAGAAAAACACACATCCCTTCAAAACAACCGATCGTTTCTTCGACAATCCTGACCAATATAAGGAACGTGGAGTCTACCTGAGGGTCAGCCAGGCGGGTGATGTTGGGTTTGAGGTAGTAAACGATGCCCTGAGTTGCTCCCGGCAGGGTGGCGCCGCGCACCAGCAGCACAAACAGCATGACGTATGGGAAGGTGGCCGTCAGGTACACAACCTGAAGGGTATACAAGCACATAGCGATGATGGCGCTGTAGGCGTCAAACTTAGATTACTGCAGTTTCTCTTTCTGTGGTTTCCTACAGGACCTTTAGGACTAATTCATAGCTACAGGTTTTGGAGTATTACATTTATGTAAGTGAATGCAAAAAGAAAAAAAAAGCTGTAAAACACTCAAAAGCCTCACATTACTAGTGTTATAAAGAAACCAGCCATTGCAACATAAATTATTTAGAGCAAGTTGAATTTTTCAGCTGCAGCATTTTATAAAAAGAGCTTTTCAGAAGCTCCAGTGCCTGAGAATAGATAGCAGATAAAATAAATATCCTGCCTGTACAAAGCTACTTTTATGGACTTGTTTTAAGGAAAACTCAAACTCGAAACCCAAAAAGAAACAAATCCTTTCTTAAAAAGTCCTAAACGCTGACACATGATGATACTGGTCTGTAATTCGATCCACAAGATAAGACATCTATGGTGATCTTTCTGAGGACTGAAGTGGCCAACGAAGGAAGTTTTTTTGCAACCTTAACCTTCTTAAAGATCTAACAATGGCTTCCAGAGACTTTGGAAGAGAAAAAGCCCCACAGCATCACAGATCCTCCACTGTACTTAACAACGGGCATAAAGCATATCCGAACCCCCACCGAACAAATTAAAATGAAAGTAAATTTGGATCTTCTTTATAGACATTAATTTAATGTGCACCAACAAATATGTCTGTATCTTTTTGACCAAGTCTGCAAATAAAAAAAAGGCCCCAAAATACTTGTTGTGCCAAGAAATTTTGGAACTATGGAGAGCCATGTAGAGCGAAACAGGCAACCTAATTAAAAATAGGCTGAAGCCATTGCAAGTGTTCATTTCAGGAGAAAATGGCCACTGATGACTTGAAGTGGAGAGCGTTTCCCAGGCTTAATTAGAGTAGAAAGTGATTGACCTAGTAATTACTGTCTGTAATTGTGTCTGACTAAATAGGAGAGTTATAGCTTGGCTAAGAAAACAGTTCATGGAGAGCTCTTAACCCTGTAATGCCAAATGTATCAGTCTAGTGTTGTCAGGAGTTTTGCGTCTGACACCTTTTGCATAATTTAATGATAAAAACTTTGCTCAAAATCCTATTGTTCACAATCAGATATACCTGATAACAGAGGGCAGAAGGCTACACAAAAAATAATCTTGACTTATCGCATAGTAATAAATTATTAATATCAAAAATGTATTTCTGTTTTTTCTTTCTACATATTTTGTTAAAAGGCCAAATAAGGACTTCAAATAAAAAAAAAGTAATTTTCTGGGTTTTTTTTTTATTCTTGGATTTGGCTTTAAATGTTTAATTATAAGTTAACCTTTGCAAAATGTTTTACAAGAATAAGAAATTGGTAAATGAACCTCACAAATCCTGAAAATATTGATTTATTTGAAATCTACTGGAACTAAGAGGTAATGTTTTCTCAACATAAATTCAACGCAAGCAATAAACCGGTCAACATCAGAAAACTGGATGTTAAGGAGGTCTTGAAACTTTGTTGTTAAAATTTGCTTTTTTCACCTTATTTTTTTTTTTAACAACCTTTCTGGCTCCAATGGACTATCTGCCAAACTCCATTAGTTCCTGAACTCCAGCTTCTTTGTTTCCTGTCTTTCAAAACTTAGAAAACTGATTAAAGGTATAGTGGAGGATTTTTCTCGAATTTGTAAAAAGACCCGCCCTCTTCACTTTGAAAAAAAATGCACATGCCCAACCCTGTACCCGCTACCAAGAGGGAACTCCTATTTGCATGCAGAGCTCATGTCTCCTCGTGCACGCTCTGATTAAAAGTTGCTGTTCTCATCGCTCATACAAGCTTACTGTGTCCGAACGTCCGCCCTAACCCTTAAATCCCTCAATCACTATATAGAGCGGGGACTATATAGTGGACTCTATAGCCAACTCGGTTAACTTACCATTTGGATCGATGATCACTACTTTTTACTCCCTGTTAAACATGTAGCTCCTCCTCCACCTCCCGGTGCCTGCGCCATCTTTATTATTAGTCGCCGCTGTCGGGTAGCGGGCCACTGTGACAGCAAATCCCATAATGCTTTGCGAGGATACTCCCTGCACAAAGCATTCTGGGATATTTCTGGCTCTTCTGAGGCATTTCTTTCCTTCTAATGCACTTCGTAGACACTTTTTTTTTCTCTTTTTCCATAAAGACCCTCGGCCTTTATTAAAGAGCCGCGGTGAGAGCTTCAATAACTGTCTGAAACCGTAGCTCACCACACATATACGCCTGAAAGTGCGCATGTGCAGAAAAAGATAGCAAACTGTGGACGAGCATGTAGGATGGCCTTATCTAAAGATATCACCAGAGTGATTGACAGTTAGGAGGACCACTTATTTAGATGATCCACCAAATCCAAATAAAACATCGTCCTCTATACCTTTAATCCAGGGTGTGTCTGACCTCAGTAACCATGACAACATTAGCCAGACACACCTGGGTTAATCAGTTTGTCCGGTAATGAAACACTGGAAACAAAGTAGCTGGTTGAAATTTAGGAAGTAGTCCATTTAATTTGATTAACTTGGATTTATAACAGAGAGATTAATGAGAAATAACTACCTCCTATCATGACTTAAATGATTGCAAATTGAACTGAATTCAAAGGAGTTTATAAGTAACAGGGACAGCGATAAACTTTGACTATAGTAACAGAAGCAATAAACTAGCCTACATGCATGTATTCACGACTGTATGACATCGTTATCGGATTTCTGCTGACCTTTCCAGTAGACTTCACCCCCTTCCAAACACAGAAGTAGCAGACGAGCCAGACGACAGCCAGACACAGAGCCAGCTTCCAGCTGATTGGACCCAGCTCATCTAAAGTGCTGGACAGGCGAAGCACCTCCCGCCTGAAAGAGACACACGGATATGTTAAGAACAACATAGCTATGAATGAAACCCCAAAGATTCTACACTCACTCCCAGAACTCCATAACCGGGGAGGTGGCGTTCTCAGGCACACTGCTCACGTTTGCCGACAGGTTGTATTTATCAAACAAGAAGCACGCATCTGCAGGAGAACACAGGATACAAACATAACCTTTACATCTACAGCGCACCACCTCACCGGCGTATTATAATGGACTTAATACCAACCCGTGTTCCAGGTGTTGTTGCAGTGCGACCAGGGCAGCTCCGCCTGGAAGCTGTGGAACAGATAATAGAGAGCCCAGGCCAGGATGACTATGTAGTAAACACAGCCATGCAGGATCATCACCTGGCTAGCATACCCGAGACCTGCAGAGACACGACAACAAACAGAGGATACACGTTTTTAGGGTGACTCTCCACATGCAGCCCACAGCTTTTCTATCTTCAATAGGAAAGAAGGATCTGATGATATTGAATACGTAACAGACCAAAAGCTATAAACTTCAAAAACAATCTAGAAATAATAACAAAAAATCTTAAATTAAGTGTATTTACCGTTAATTTCATCAAGTTAATAACATGATTTGTGAATAGAATTACAATTTTTACTATTTTTTTTATTTTTACTATTAAAATAACATAATTAGATAACATGTACTAGAAATAAGAGAATGCAATAGATAATTTTTACTTATGACTGCATTTATTTTCGACAATTTTGACAAACAACAATAAATAAATCAACCAAATACACACGAAAACTAAACCAAACTCCAATTTCCAAACAAACTAAATTCACCTGAACATAAATAGAAACAAAACCCTCCACCAAATAAACCTGTCAGTTTATACAGTCTTAAAAGGAGTTGGAAGAAGTAAATATTATTTTTTCATACCCATTATCAATTTAATTGCACTTTAATTAACCTAAAGTAGAGGAACCTTCCTGTTGAAGCTTCATTTGTCTTATTTTAAATTTACATTTTTTTGTTCAATTGGCAAAGTTTCTCACTTAACTCCTCAGTTCAAGAGAAAATGCACTTATCTTAATAAAAAATTACTTATTTAGCTTTCAATTTCTTGCAGTGTACTCCTTTAATGGAGTAATAACGAGAGAAAATCGCTTTGTTGAACATAAGGTTACCCCTTAAACGTATAGGGGTGCAAAACCCTGTACCCGCTCCCGATAGTGAAGATCTATTAAATGCGTGCAAGAGCGTGCATGAGGAGAAATGGGCTTAAAAGTTGCTGTTTGCATCGCTCATACAAGCTTACTTTCTAAAAGATTTGCAATTTTTCCACTAATGTCAGACTCACCACCGGTACCTGAAGATGGGGATAAGCATGTAGGACGGCCTTATGTAAAATATCAACAGAATGATTGACAATTAGGAGGACCACTTACATCCTCCACTATACCTTTAAATTCGGAAATTTAGGAGGTTGACTATACCTGACTCTCATGGTCTGCTTATCAGCATCATTCCACAATGAAAAAAAAAATTTAAATATAGATAAGTAATTTATTCTTAAAATAGGTGCATTTGTTCTTGAAGTAAGGAGATAAAATACACAGTTTGCAAATGTAACAAGACAATTTAGATTTAGTGCATATTATGGAATTATCTTATTTTAAGAGTAAAAATACTCATTCCATTGGCTAAATATCTCCTTTACCTATTTAAATAAAAATAAATACACTTAATTTAAGACATTTTTGCTTATTTCTAGATCATTTTTCCAGTGCAGATATAATATGTTCAAATCCAGAGGGAATATTCAGCATCCAATGAAAGTGTATTCAGCTGATAGTGATGAACTTCATGCACTCACTTTAATGCATCTAGTCCAAATAAAGCCTACCAGGCTTATTGGTCAAAGTCCTCGATAGAGCATGAGCAGGTTCACATCCAGACAAACTGATTTTAAGTAGATTTGCTCACTTCCAGAGTTTACTGCTTTAAATTAGCTGCTTTTCCTTCCATTCGCTCAGAACACATCATCCAGAGTATGATTTTAAGAAAAGCCGTCAACATTGCTGGATGTCGTCTGTTTCACTGAACTCACTATGAGTTGAAGTAATATTTAACCCTGAGCTGCAGTTTGGTCACAGAGCTAGAATATAAACCACTTTCTACGGCACTGATTTGGACTTGCTTGTTCCAGGAGAGTAAAGTGAAGGACACAGAAATGCAGTAGTCCAAACAGAAAAGGAGCTAAACGCTTTACAAGTTACCTCTGTGTATGATTGCACCAAAACTGTGCCTAAAGTCAAGGTTATTATCGTCCCCCCCCCCTTAGTGTTCTGTGATATGGAGCCAGACGTTCCCATAGAGCAGAGGATTTATATGTTATTACCCAATTTCCTGCTCAGATAAGTTTGTTTTATATTGTCTAGGAATACGTCTGAGATCCAAACAGAAGAGAACTTATAGAAGCAAAATTAAAGGTATAAAATGATAACGTTGCATTACAGTTAAGGAGGTGTGCGGGTACAACTGGCAGTTTTGCAACAGAATGGAAGCTCTAAGACGGTGAAGGCATGACAGCAATCAGGGGAAGTTTTCTGGAGCCATTTGCGACCACAGATTCCAACAATGTGCAAAAATGTGCAGTTTTCCCTAAACCTTTATAGGGCACTCAGTGAAATACTTCCAACGTCAAAACGTTAAGAGCGCTATTGGAGGTATAAGACCTTATTAATTTTGTAACATATGAAAAATATATGTATGTGTTGATGGCAAAAAGAAATAGTTACTTGTCCTAAAATGTTAACAAATGTTCTTCTATAAGAAGTTAATGAAAAAACGCTCAGAGAGTGAAAAAAAACCCACTTCTTTCTTGTTAAAACCTAACCTTACTTTTTAACTTTTTAAGTTAGCTTAATAACTTTTTAAGATCACATTTTAATGTTTCAATTAGCTTTTTAACCTTTTCACTTTTTTCAACTTGGTTTACAACAGGGAATATATCGCCAAGGGGTCATCTAACTGGTTAAATACCAAAATGGCATGTGCTGCCACATGGCAATACCGGTATATAAATATTGTGCTTCTAGACCTCACTGATGGATGGGGGTGGAGACTACAATTTGAAGGGGTATGCAAGAGACCAAAAACTGTAATTTGCCCTATAAAGGGATAAGAATACCCCAAATACCTTTGAAGTCTAGAGAAAATTGTCCCAGAGGTTTGTTGATGTGGTCAAGGGGTTTATTTAGGTCTGCCTGTATGATTACATTTATCTGACCCCAAATAAATTCACTTTAAAATTTAAATACTAGTAAATCTGACAAGAGGGAAGTCATTGACACCTTCTAAATGGCGGTTACTCCGCAAAAACTACTGATTGATGCACCCTTGATGGAGGACATTTTACCTGAAAGTTTGGTGGAAGGAAAACGTTTGGGTGAAAGAAAAGTTGGGAAAGCAAACAAGAATAGACCTTGTAACACTGTAACACTTTGTAACACATTGCCCAGAGAAGCAATACCTATACTAACAAAGATATTACAATGCAAATGTCTCCATCACACGCAACACATATGCAGCCATTCATGCAAGGGGGGAGGATAGAATGAGAAGTAGAAGCGCAGGTAGACTTTTCCAAGGTATTTTTCAATCAAAAACAAACAAAAGCAACAGAGGATCACCTCCAAATAATGGGCAAATAGTCCTCCAGGCGCTGACCCCTCCCAGGCTGGTGTACTGCCCCAGAGAGGTCTCCAGGAGGAACAGGGGGATGCCACACAGCACCAGGAACAGCAGGTAGGGAACAAAGAACACGCCTGCACAAAAAACATGAAAACCTTCATTTAAAGCCACCAAAATGATCCCGTACCGACTGTGGATCTTGTTAAAAACACAAAGCATGGAGGCTGAGCGACTCAAAGACGACTATCTTCTCTTTACCTCCTCCGTTTTTGTAGCAGAGGTAGGGAAACCTCCAGACGTTGCCGAGCCCAATGATCTGTCCAGCCACAGCCAGGAGGAACTCGGCCTTGCTGGCCCACTGGCCTCGGGCCTGCAGGGCTTCTTTCCCGTTGGGGAGGCCTCCTTTGTGGGACTTTTTCAGCGCCTGGTTGGCCTGTTGTGAAAGCGGCTGGTCGGCCATCACCGGCTCTGGCAGGGACACACACACACCCCTGAAAAGAAAAAAAAACAACATAAGAGGACAATACTATGACAAAAGGGACATAGCAAACACAAAGAAAACATCATTACAAATAAAGAGGGGGGATAAAGCAAAAAAAAACTTACATTTTAGCAGCCGAAAAGGAGAAACTAAAACTGGGAGCAGTTCTGCTGCTTTGGCTGCCTTGCTTATCTGGACTGAGTGAGTCTCAAGGACGACTAATGTGGGTGTGTGTCCTTTATCTAAAGCCTGCAGGACATCCAATGCCCAAATTCGCCATTTCTCACTCCTCGGCTCACCATTCATTCAAAATATAGAAACATTTATGCTTAAAAATAATAACTTTGGATTAAAGAATCTACATTTATTTTTCAAGCACATAATAATCCAAACCTGAAAAAAAGCTCTTATTCTATTACATATAAAAAAAATGATTTAGCTCTTAAGCTCTTTTGCATTTACGCCCTGCATTAGCACTGAGAACATACAGATAAAGGGAACAGGGTTAACCTTTTCATACAAATAAAAATCTAAATAATGTGGTACCGATACCTTATAAAACCTGCTTTTGTTGAATTCTGGTTCTAAGTCATTTAAAGTGTATTTTCACAAGCTTTCCATATTTACAGACTAAATTTAATGCACATTCTCTGCAAAAAAGCTCCTGTTCAGTTGGATTCGATTGATATTAATCCACAGTCAGACTTTAGCCTTCATGACTTTGACTCAACTAATTTGACACATAGACATTTTTTTATTTAAACTGCACTATTAGACCTCTGGCTGCATGTTTGTGGTCATTTTAGTGCTGACAGGTTCTTCCCATTCACTTTGACCAGCTTGAATATTCCTACTAAAGAGGAGCGTCCCACAGCCTGATCCTACCTCTACTGTGCTTTTACTGGTGTGACATGCTGTTTGAGGCTAAAGAGTTATAGTTTCAATATATAGTCTCAATAATTAATATAAAAGAATAAAATAACAAAGCACTACAGCTCTTATAATGATATATTCAGTGATTTTTGTGACGTTTCTCTCACCCAATTTGAAGAAATTGCATCTAATTTGATGTAAAGCCTCTTATACTGGACCTCTCACTTTTTTCATATGTAAAGCAAAGTGTTTTATTGATCGTAGTGTCGGATGCTGCATTGAAATGTTCCTTTAAGTGTAACTTTCTAATGTTTTCCGGTGACCTCAGTAAGCTTCCCATCGTCGCCACCCCTCCTTTTGACCCATGTGATCAAATAACGCTGATGTAACAAGCCCACCTTTCATAACTCTACTTTCACTATTCAGAGTAGTGCTGTTTGATATATATCATAATAGCGGCGCAAGGACAATTTGAGGGCGCTTTTACCCCTATGTAGAATGTAACAGCGTGTAACCATATGTAACACATGTCATATAACGGTGTCGGTGCAGTAGTGAATAGCAGAGGCGCGTTGGAGCGTCAGGATGCTCCTTAAGTCGCGCTTCGCGCTTTAGCCACCGAGCCTTAATGTTGGTTTTTGTTGCGTTGGACGAGGTTTGAATGGACAAAGCGTGGACAGCTTGTGAGGGTGCCTACCTCTGCGTTTCCCGTGGGTCTCCACACCTCGGCCACCCCCCCTGCGCGCTGAAATGGTTTATTCCGGGCAGCTCTGTGCGCCGCTGCTTCACTCGGCACCAAATTTACACCCTAGACTGTGTTTAAGGATCCAGTCGGAGAAATGGATGCCTACCGGTGATATAAACAGGTTACAAAATGAACCGCGTGGCATCATGGGTATTGAATGCTTTTTTTTCCCTTTCTTCTTCTTCTTCTTCTTCATTGTTTCGAAACTTCAAAGATGCCGACCCCTGATGACGACTTTGCTTTTTGTTTGTCGTTTCCGCTTACCTGCTCAGAGACTACAACTTTGTGTATTTTATTCTCTTTCATTGCATACATTAATGTCCCCTCAGTTGTTTTTATAATTAGTAATGGATATGCAAAATTAACGTTTATAAACCATAAAAAAGTGAGTGTTAAAATAGGAAAGTTTTTCCATCAGTTATTTTGCATTAAACTCCAAAACCCAGTTTGAATAAACAAAAAAATCTTAAAATCAGAGCATTTTTGGTAAATAAATTAATCTTCTGAAGGAATTAATGTTTTTTCCCCCTTAAAATAAGATTATTAGATATTATGTTCTTGAAAAAAGATGAAATATTGCTTACTTTTAATTCTTGCATAACAGGGACCAGGAACTGTACACTGGTCCCTTTTAGTCACTGTGTAAAACCGCCTTTATCACTTTGAATTCCATATTTGCACTTGAATATCATCATGATTTTCAAATGTAAGTTTTCTGAGTAACAAAATAAAAGAGGCGTTAATAATTCAAGTGCAAAAGTCAACAGACACCATAGGAAAATTATCAGTTTAAATTGCACCTTAGGCTTTGGTTTTTCAATAAGTGACCAGTTCTGATTTTTCCCACCTTTGAAATATTATGTATAAAAAAGTAAAACTTTGACTGCATGTTTTTTTTTTTTTTAAGGATCAATACAACCCGCTCATCAAACTACTTAACCCTTTTGTTTTTGTTTTTTTGAGATGCTGAAATGTTTTAGGTCATCATGCTGATTTTATTATAAGAAATAAAAGCATAACTTAAAATAATTTTTTTTTTTTAAATGATTTAATTTTAGGGAACAAAGTTATGGCTATTTGACCCGATGTAATAAAGTAAATCCAGGTTGTGCCCTTTTTTCGCAATAACTGCTGTAAAGCTTTTGCAGTTAAAGGCACACTATGCAACAATTAATGTGTTCCATAACGTTTTGGATGATTAAATGAGTCATTTCAGGTTGAACAAAGGTATTCTCGGCCGCCCTGGTGGTCTGTGGGGGAAAAACCGCAATTGCAGGAGCACCGACCCGCACCCACAGGCTCAAAAGTCTCGCGAGAGTCGGTCTTGCTTTACGGCGAGAACTGCTACACGCCCCCAGTTAAAAGCATTCTCGTTGCTAGCACAGTGGTAATCTTTGTGCAGCGCTGCTTTCACACCGGACACAGCAAAAGCAGCAAAATCGCGTCTGCTGCTTCATTTTTACCAGTTCTGACACGCGGCTGAAGCAGCTTTGCTGCTCTGGCTGGGTGCAAAAGTGTGTCTGACGCACGTTGGGCGGAGCTTCACTATCCTTTCTCTGCCTTGCAGCTATATTTGCTGTGATCAGTGGGAATAAAGTAGTTTTAATATGTTTTTAAGTGAGAAAATACACCTGAAAACGTAATCAGTGCAGTCAGTTCATTCAGATTATCATCCTGCCTTCCAATATTTTTTCTGTCGGAGCCGCTCAGACCCCCACATAGCAGCGGTGCGCCGACAGTAGGAATCCCTTCATCAGCAGCCTCTGGCTGGGTCGCCTCCTCGCGGTTCACGGCGGCAGCTGGTAGGTGTTTTTCATCTAAATAATCCAAACTGCAGGCAGCAGGATAATAAAAGCAAACATATTCTGCCGGCAGATTTCTGCATTTTAAGTAAATTTAGGCGTCAATAAACTGTTTAAGAGGAGTGATAATAGCGCTCTGATCATCAGCGCTGTGTCTCTCTCCCTGCCAGCTCCCAGATCAGCTTCTTTGATTGGTTGACACGGCGCGTCGAGCAACAAAAATAAAAATTTTTCCATCTCGAGCAGCAGCGCGTTTGCGGCGCGTCACACGTGTCAGATGCTTAAACGCGCCCGACGCGCTGCTTCAGCTGCTCAGACGTGCTGCGCCTGCTGCTCAAAACGCGCTGCGGGACCTTATGCTGCGCCTTGACGCGCGTCAACCATTGACTTTGCATGTAAACTTGCTGCTTCTGTCGCGCCAGCTGCATTCGCCTGTCTGCTAAGCTCAAAACAACCGCGCCTGGCTTGACGGAGAAACCAGGGGAACAGCTGAGCATATTTACGACAGTGCACTTTTACTTTCGCCCTCTGGGGGGAGCCTCGCTGGAAAATCAACACCGGTTGCATAGTGTACCTTTAAAGAGCCTTTTACATCACTGTGGAGGAAAGTCGGCTTATTTTTTGTTGCCTTTTATCAAATTTCAGCCGATTTGGGGATGTTTTATGCATAGATTGCCTATTTAAGTTAAAGCAATAGAATCTCAGGCCGTACCCTGATAAAAACCTTTGCCATTCAGAGGTGGACTGGCTGAAGAACACATGAGGTTACTACCTGAATTCTCCTTTAGGTTCTTCTATAGAGTAGAACTTATGCTGTCATCAGTTATGACACAGTTTTCAGGTATTGGATGGGCCAAGCAGGCCCTTACCATCACACTACAACCACCATGTTTGACAGTTATATGCATTAAGTTAATTTTCATTTTTTTCTCATCAGTTCACAGAATAACTTCCTGAAAGTCTTTGTAAAAGCAGCAAATGTTTTGGGAAATCTGACTGCGTCTTTGTGTTTTGTTTTTGGTCAGCTTTGGCTTTGACATTGGAACTCTTTTGGCAACTCTTTTATGCAATATTCTCTGATTGTTGAATCAGAAACATGGACTTTAAGTAAACTAGGAGGAAATAAAAGGTGCTAAATGAATGTACTCAGTAATGCATGGCAAAAATCTAGATGCCTTGCAAATATATAACTGCCTTTCCTACATTTTGTCACTTAACCAGAAACTTTAATGTGATTTGATCATATTTTATTTTGCACATAATTAGGAAGTTGAAGGCGAATGACACATTTATCTTCCCATTATGCAAGTGCTGTGCCAAAACAACTACAACTAAACAACTAGTAGTGTTTTGTTCCTATGCAACAATGTCTCTCTTCTGGACACTGTTTAGCAGTTGTGCTGATAGAACCACAGAAACCTGAATCTAAATCTTCTAGAATTTTCTTATTCTTACAGGTGCTGGTCATAAAATTAGAATATCATGAAAAAGTAGATTGATTTCAGTAATTCCATTTAAAAAGTGAAACTTGTATATTATATTCATACATTACATACAAACTCATATATTTCAGATGTTTATTTTGTTTAATTTTGATGATTACAAATGACAACAAATGAAAATCTCAAATTCATCATATCAGAAAATTAGAATATTGTGAAAAGGTTCAAAATTGATGGCCCCTGGTGCCACACTCTAATCAGCTAATTAACTCAAACCACCTGCAAAAGCCTTTAAATGGTCTTTCAGTCTAGTTCTATAGGCTACACAATCATGGGGAAGACTGCT